CTAAATCATTTGAGATTTTGAAAATACAACCTAACAGATGTAAATTTGATGCCAAGTGAAGGGCCTATCTAGCAATCTGGGTTAAAGAGGGGTTAGGGCAAGAAGTTCTGTAGTATGTAGTGCGGGTATGTAGAGAAGCAAAATCTTCCGTTAGTAGACTCTATACCTTAAGCCAAATTGCTATGTAATTGCATTTATTGCTCAGTCTTAAAACTGCAGAAATATCTGATGAATGTAGGTGGATGCATGATTGTTCATTTATCTGTACAGCTATAGATCCACTGAATGTTACAGCACTGTGGCTAAATATATCTCTTAGATGGGTAGAAGATGGTTCCCTGCATGGATTGCCTTTTTCTGCATGAAAGATTGAAGCAGTTCAGCTGTCTACATTGTTTTGTTCTCATTATAGGAGCTGGGGGGAAGAAGACATGAGCAGGGGTGGGATGGGCGAGCAGGAAAACGCAGGGAAGAAGCAAAATTGACTTGTTAGTGCTTCAGAGATGGATGGTAAAAGTAGCAAGCGGAAAATTTTCAGGTGCTCATCACAGGAAGCTACTTGTTCCCATTACTTTCATATTGGCAAATCTATTTTAGCATATAAACTTGATAAAATACAGAGCATACATTTTCAATGTCTGTAATTACAATGGCTGTTCTCCATTTGTGTGGTGGCCTAGGGACAGCTTATGCGTGCTGGCATGAGATACCGGTTCTAGATGAACGATACCGTGAAGTCAGAGTTCTGACATTACAGTGAATCACACATAACCTGTGCAGGTTATCCTGTGCTTCTTTGATCTTGAATTTTCAGGGAAAGGATATATCTGAAGAAAGGATCCCCATTTGTGTGTAATGCTGTGTGAAAATAGCTATATTGAGATGTAGCATCAAGGACCCTTTCTGTCTCTCTAATTCAAATGGCTTTTCACATCTAGAAAAATAACCAGATAAATTTTTTTCTTATTTCTGCCAATAACAGTATAAATAGAGTGTCTGTGTAATAATTGAACAAAAATGCTGAAAAGTTAAAGGATTTTAATCATAAATTTGGAATGTTTATCTAGCAAAGTAGACGTTGCCACTGAGGTCAATGGTTTTTCTAAAGAATGCCGGAGAGCAAAGATTAAATATCGTGTGTACTTTCCCAGTGGATTCAACACTGTGCTGTACACAAGATGGTCGTTTCATTCATTGTTCAGTCAGCCTTCATTACATATACCTTTAGAGTAATAAGGTCTGAATCATGTTGTTATCACATCTCAGGAGTTTCATTAATTTTAATGGGTCTGGATTCTCTTAGTGTCCAAGGCTGTAAAGTAAGTGCCAAGATCTAGAAATTTCCAGCCTATTCCAGTATCAATTGAAATCTCCGAGAAAGTTTCACTGTTTCAGGCCCAGACCAGCACTAAGTCTTTGTTCAAAAACTTTGACAGTATTGTAATACATTGTGGCAATTTCATTTTTTCATCAGTGTCGTGAAAGACTCAAATGCCATTGTCTGCCGCAAGTGCTTTGAAATGGATACCAACCATCGCAAGGAGACAGAAATGGCAGTTAAATCCATTGTTCCCAAGTTTTGAAATAAATGAAAAGAAGAATAATTGTGAATACATCCATGTGATGGTAGGAAAACTTAGCCAAGTTTGCAAAATCAGTCTTAACTGATTTTAACTGAACTAGACTCATGCTAGAAAGTTTCTAGTGTCAGGGTTGTTTCTTCATCTATTAGGTGTTTGCAGGGTGTATTTCTATCAGTTAAAGCCCTAGTACAAATGCAATTGTACCAGCAAAACTGCTTTTGTGGTGGAGTTTATAATAAATTCAGGGAAGTGATTTAAGTAGCAAAACCACCTTTGGCTGAAGTTTTTTTTTTTGGAACAGCAGCTGTTTTGTTGGAATCGCAGGTCATTTCTAGAGTAAGTAATATGTCCCTGAATGTTCATCTACTTAAGTACTACTTATTTGGGTTATATACAGTGAAAATTGAGTTTCATATAAAAATGTATAGAATCAGTTCCCACTAATGGCCAATTTTTGGGCTATCATGGAGATGAATAGAATATTCTAAAACCGTGCTCTAAAAAGACATAGATTCTAGGTGACAACTCACCAATCAAATGTATATAGACTGTTCCGTGCGGAAGCCCGCTTGCTAAAAAGGTTCTTCATGTAGGCACAAGTATCAACCATATATTTCAGAGTCAAGGCTGAAGTCCCTCCAATATAATGATAGGCACGTCTGATACTGAAAAGAGTATTATGTTGTGATAATACAAAATAAAATCACCTCTGTTCATTTCTCACAGCTAGGAGAAAGAATGACCCTGCCATTCTTGCAAGTAATGCTAGTATAATGCAGCCAAAGTTGTATTTGAAAAATAACAATAGTAATCTAAAAAAGAGGAAAAAGTTAGCATCAAGTGGCATAAGACAAATTATTGTGATCTCATGATCTATCCAGAATCATGAATGTGATCCTAAGATCACTTTACTGTCTTCAGTGATTGACATTTAATAGTGTCTGTTCTGTCATCTGAATTATTTTATGTAGTGACTAATACTTTACTTGGTTTCAACCTGGCTTTTATTTTGTGGGTGATATGCAGCTGCAGCTTGCTGAAGCCAATGAACAGTGGGTACTGACAGGCTAATGAGATATGCAGTCACTTGTTATCTGGGCTGTCAACCTGATGCACGTATCCACAATTCACTGTAAGAAGTTAAAGTCTGGTACAGTTTTTGCAAACACACAACTGGAAGCAAATGTGTGTCTCTTAATGAACAGGTCATTCACAAATGGAGCATTATAATATTCTAAGAAAACGTGAATATCTTACTCTAGCAATAGTTCACCAAGTTCAAGGGAACCTCTAGGAGGTATTAAAACAAAAACATGGCTACCAATTTAAACTACAAGCACAAGCAGAAATATTTTGCAGGAAGTCAGTGAGTCATATTATCCTCATAAAATTGTAGAAAATGTTGAAATTGCCGAGAAACAATTAAGTATGTGACTAGGGTTGGAAAAGTTTAGCCATAAACAAAAACAGACACCAGCTTTTTGTTTGTAGAGGATGAAGGTCATTTGGCTTGAGGAACAGCCTAATACTAACACAGACTAAGTAGAACATGCAATTTGAATGTACTCAATTGCTGCATAAAAGCATAAATGTTTGGCCCTGTATGTCTGGATACTTGGGAACGATGACGGATAAATGTTAGTAGGATACTGGGGCACTGAAAATCATTGAAAATAGGGACAAACAAACATATTCCTTTAGTAAAAAAAAGAAAACTACCTCTTTCAATTTATTTTAAAAATGCATTTTGTAAGCCCTGAAATCTCAATCTTACAAAATTGCACATAATAAAATCTTGAAGTAAGTTAATATCCGGCAGTTTGGAACTCTGTTCAAGACTCAGAAACATTATAAGGCTTTTTCAAGCCTCCTTCTTGTCTCCAGCAGATCAGTGTTTTCTTTGCCCCTGGCAGTAGGCACCTTCATTTGGGCCTGATGTTTTGTGTTCTGCATGTGCCAGCCCATAGCACGCTACTGTATTCACATTCGGTGCTTTGGGGGAAGATTAAAAGTGAAGACATACCTTCCCAAGGGCATAATCGCTATATTTAAGACATTTGAAGACGTCGTCTTACCCAGTAGAGATTACAGATTGGAAAATGGATTTGAACTCAGCTTTGTCAGGGGTCCTTATCTTACTTATTTCTAGCCTAAAAGGAGAGTTATATTTGAGATATGTCCAGATGCTTTTACTCAGGGGCAGTTGTAATGTAGCTCAGCACTTTCATACAGACACTCTGGCTAGCAAAACTCTCTGTTTAAACAACTGCATTTATAAATCTTTCTTACCAATAAAGTGCTGTCATGACATCCTACTTACAGCCTTCTAGTCAGAAGTGTGAAATGAGCTGTAAGATTTTTAGGTCACTAACAAAAATATATTGCAGGTGTGTACCATGACTTTATCGACATTATTTAGAAGTAAAATAAATAACCCCTTTAATGGTGCTCTTAAAGTTATTTAGATTCCTTTCATTCTTATGAGAGGAAACTGTTCCTGTCTCTAAAGATGTGCTTGTGAGTTGTATTTGAATGTAGCTAGCTATATATGTTGCAACTAAACATGACAGAGTCGGTGGCCTTGAGGGCTGAACCTTTGTGCGGTTGAAAAACATCAACAAAAACACCAGCATTTTTAAAATGCTTATGGCTGTACATAAGTGAGGTCCAATACGTCTCTCATTTGCACTAATTTGCGACAGTGTATCTCTTTGGAGTGCAGAATAGTACTTGCTTTATACTAACATAGGTGGTAGCAGAGTCAAGGCTAAGCAGTTTAGTTGTTTTACCAGCTGAGGTGTGGGGGCCTGTACATTTCAGACTTAAAAAGTCAAATCGAGAGTTCAGTACCACAGATTTTACTGCAGGCATCTTCTCCGCAGCTTCAGCTTCCCATTCCCTGTCAGGGATCTCCCTGTTTTTGTTTGTTTAGTGTCTACAAGCTTCAAAGCCTTTCAACCTCATGCTATATAGGCTTTAGGACTGCTATAAAAATATGCAAGCTTTTTCCTGCGTTTCCTCCCTTGCTTCTACTCATGAAATAGGATTCCCAGCTTAGGGAGCTAAAGAATGGATCCTGGGAATCTGGCCTTGATGAGGGATGTGGTCAATAACCACGAGGATATTCCTTTTATTTCTTCCTTTGACAGCTTGTTATGCAATGACATTTTTCAGTAAGTTGCATGTTTTTTTCAGACTAATGATCCTTTCGATGGGGTGACCGTTCACAGACTTATAAGCATCTGAAAACTAAGGGAAAGAATGGAAAATATTACAAAACTTCAGCTATGATGTGATGCATGTGCCCTCTCTGATTAGGGGTGTAAAGGAGGCATCCTTTCAAAGCGTGAGAACAGACCTGCTGCTCAGTTTGATTAAAGGGTGATTGACATGCACCTAAATTTGTCTGTGTAACAGATTTCCACTGATGCCACTGAAGCTGTGGAGTCCTATGGAGTTTAATGCACTGAGGTACAGAATAAGTAGCCGTACCCAACACTTACCTTCTGTGCAGCAAACAAGGTAGCTTGCAAAGCAGGTAACTATTTGGCTCAAATTTATGATTGTCAAGATCTTGTTCTAAAACCTTTTGTGTGTTTTTCGTGGATGTATTCATGAGCTTGGCAAAGCCTGTAGAACAGGCAAAGAAACAGGAGACTTCACTTCAGGGAACTAGCTGAAAGGTTGCAAATCAAATGATCAGTTCTCAGTCAAACAGGATCTCTGCCTATGGAAACCCTTGACAACTTCAGTTACTGCTGCAGCAGATAAGGGTACTTAAAGCATAGTCACTTATAGTAATTCCCTGTACCTGTAGATTAACCCACTATGGTCAAAATCTCGTCTCTCTTGGGAAGTATAGTTAGCATATAGTCATTCAATGCTTTACGTCCAGTCTGGAAGAACATGGAGTTAGGTTGCTCTCCATGCTAGTGGTGGCAGAGCCAGGAAAGAGTCTTGTTCTGACATTTCAGGGCTTCTGGTCTGAATAACGGCAGCCATGCTGCTGGAATAATGCAGAGGCACAGGGATTGGGTGCAGATGTTTTTTTCTAGTATCTGCCTTATTTGATTAAGAGCTCCCAACAATGTTTTGGAGCACATTCTGTAACACAGGACAAACTTTTTCATGGAGGATCTCCATATAGACCTCCTTATTGGAGTTTTCCACTTGTGTTTATACTTCTCTATAGGAAGAGATACTCCAGGTTTTTTGTTTTACTCAATCGAAAATTCTCAGCAATTTCAAATGGAGTTTTGTGTGAGTAAGGAGTAAGAACTAAGAGAGTAAGTTAGGATTTGGCCCTCATTTTGGCATCATTAAAACAATTAAAGCAAAGATGCTAGCTGTGGTGTTTACATTACACCGGTCAGTGGGGGGAAGGACGGGAATTATTCTGTATATTAACTGTCTGGGTGATTTTCTACAGCTGCTTTGAGGGATATGTCTGTTACTTATATTGTAACTTGGATTCTATAGACATATGGCAGAGAACACAGTTCTCCAGAAAGCAGAAGAGTTTGAGTGATGGAAAACAGAAGAGAGCAATCCAAGAGAAATTCTGCCAGAGGAGGAGCCTGAACCTGAATTCTACTGTTAAAACCAGACTTCTGCCTTGGGCTTAAGTACCACACTCAGCCAAAGCCCTAATTCTGCCATTGGCTTCAGTGTGGCTCTGCACAGATGCAAAGAACTGCTTTTTGGACCTGACTAAGTCTGGGGCTTAAGTATTGTTCTGGCATCCAAACTGATTTGGAAATACATGGGTTGGCCTGAACTCCTTCTTCAGCAGTGGGACAATTACAGTTTTTTTAAAAATCAGAAATGCAGAGAGCCTGTAAGTTGAGGGTATTCTGACTTTTACACAATGAGTTTGCAAAATCAGCAATTGCAGAGGGCATGAGAAATTTTGTTTCAGATAGTTCAGTTTCTTATTAATTGCATAGCGGATGGCAACAGAGGAAACGTGTTTAGCAGACAAGTATTTTTTTCTAGTTAATCTAGTGTCTTTTGTTCTGAATTTTCCCTTTCTTGCAGCTCAGCGCTGTCTAAGTGTGAACTGCCAGGAAGGTTTTCACTCATCTGTTTTTCTGTTTATTTCAGAAGCCAGCAGACTTACTGACTGGCAGTCATGTCGGTCAAACTCACATTCGTCTCTTCTGGTGATGGGGGTGGTATCAGCAGGAGTTGTTCTTTCACTGGATTCAGCACTGTGCAAAGCAGAAAATTAGCGTAAGTAACAAAAAGAAAAGCACCTGGTCTCCTGGACATTAGACATTAGGTATTGTGAATGTATTTGCTAACCTAAGGCATCCATATATAGAAATTGTTTCTTAATTATTATCTTGAAGTGTTGAGTATTGTCATTGTGCCCTGATAAACACTATTGCATTGTATTTCAGAATTGGCTGTATTTCAGAGGGTATGTAGCAGAGTGTTTACAGAGTCCATTTCTTTCGGAAAAATGTTGGTATGTAAGGCTACCTAAACTCTGTTTGTTATAGTCACCATCACCTAGTTCTCTGCTGTGTTTCTGCAAGCTCAAAAACAGATGAGAGCACGGAAATCATCTTGCTTGCTAATACATGAAGTAGGTCTGACATTTAAACCGAAACGAGACTCACATATACCAAACCCCCCAATTTTTCCGGTTTTCGTAAATTAGTGATTTAAATGGATGAATTAAGAATTAGAAGGAGCTGTGCCTTTCATAGAGGTTCATGGGACATTAATGTTTGGGATCTCAGCCTGCTCAAGACTTAGTGTTGATGCAGCAGTAGGAGGCATTCTTCCCCTGAGTCTGTGCTCTAGCGACTGCTCCTGCTAGAAGTCTGGTACTGACTGGCAAGTTCTGACTATGCCAGCTTTCAAATGAAAGGTAAAACCTTCTGATAATAAAGGTAAAACCTTCTAATAGCTATGATAATTACAAATCTCACAATAGGGGTGTTAAAGGTTTATTCTAGCAAAATATGTAATTGAGCCCAACTAAATTTCTCCTCAGTTATTTAAGCAGAGCAACATTACATTGGAGGAAGGACTGCTTTCTGGCTCTGCTACAAAGAGAGGAGGAGGGAGGGAAAACAAAGAAGGCTACTGCAAATTCACTACTGTCAGTAAGGTCAATAGTACAGGCAAGGTTGCAATACAGTCTTCCCGTTTTCAGTCCACTGCCATAATTGCTAAACCATACTGCACTGCTTTTTCCTTTTTGCTTATCATAAATTGTTGCTTAGCATTGCTTTACACTGATAACTCTGCAGCTTTTCCACTAGAAGCATTCTTGGTCTTTCTCTGAATTTAGTGATCCTTGTGTAGTCTGTGGAGTTCCCCTAAAAGGTATGATTTGTAAATGGAAAATTAATATAATCTCTGGCTGCCAGGGCATGCCAGAATAATAACAAAGTGAATCGTGTAGAAGCATTGAATCGTATAGAAGTATTGAAAAGTATGCCTCTAAAAGTATTGTACTCAAAAAATCTTTTTGTGTATAAGTAATATACCTGGCTCATCTCATAAAATGTATTTTCAAAGAACCAAATGATTGAATTAACCTTTTACCTAAACACAGCGCTGGTAAAGTGTGAGCAAAAATGAAAAGTCAACACAATTGTGACCTAATCAAGAAGTATTTACATTTGAATAAATAGATTTGTTCTGGAAGCTGAACAATAATACTACACCTAGCAAGGTTCGGCCATCTTAAATCACAAGTATCCCTAAGATCTTGAGAAAAACACAGAGAATTAAATTATATAAACAGACTGGAGCTAGCAGTATATAGTGGGAGTTCTTGCAGGGAAAGGATCTACCGGGGAAAGTGTTGAACAGCTGTCGTTCCAACAAAGGCACATCCAGCAGGGTAAGAAAGCTCCAAATAGGAAAGTTCATTTTTCTCTTAACATTACTGTGTTTTAACTGCAAAGGTTTTCTAACCACATGCCTCTCCTTATGCATTTTTCACAATGTTACTTTTTGTTATTAGCTGCCTTGACAGAGGAGGGTTTCGTTAAGGAATCTCCACCCTTCAGGAAAATGCTTTGAAATGATGATGCACGCTAGATATGCAGTCACAGCCTGGTGAATACCCAAGAACCTTCCCCAGGACAGTGAAGAAATGTTCTAATTGCCCTTTCGTTAACTAGTTTCTCGCTCAGGCACTGTTGCAAAACACAGCAGGAGACTGCAGGGGCCCTATGCGAGGTCTGTCCAAAAGATGACACACAAATCAGGTCCACATGGAGGTTATTGAGCAAACGCTAAATATACTTTTGCATTTCTTTAGCAGCTTCCTTTTGAGGCTCCCAGTAAGACACACTATTTCATTTTGCCTCACAATGGTATCCTCAGGAAGTAAATATTATTACTGTCATCTGTCAAGTGGGAATCTGATACTTAATTACTTTTAATTACTAAGTTCACCAGGGAACATAGCAACATAACATCTAGCTTTTTGATACTGTCCCTGAAGTCCCATGCTAGACACTCTGTTATTATGCAATGTATGAAAATAGGATTTTAAACTCAAGAGTTCCTAGACCAGGACTGGGAACAGATCTCAGGTTTGCTGGGCTGAGGATTTAATGACCAGACTCACCTATTTCTTTAACACCTTGAGTCACATGCCTCAACCTTAAGGCAGCCAGTGGATAATTAAGCCTGTTGGAGTTCATCATTTCCTCAGGTGAGCTGAATGTAGGACAGGGATTCTTGAGGGGGTGGGATGCTTCTCTGAGGGTGACCAGTTGGCTCACCTTGGTGGAATGGAAAGCTTCGTAATGTTATTTTAGAGGCTTGGATTCTGGGGAGAATTAACAAAAGCTAGGCAAAAATAATTAAGACTTAGAAGAGTGCAAAGGTAGAGGTGAGCCAGGCAGGAATCTGCCATTGTGAAAGAACCATTTGCAGTGTTTGTTTTCTAGTTTTGAGTGCTGTGGTTTCATAACTGATGACTGGCTCGAGGTTTCATAGTTCTTCAGGTTAGAAGTTTTTAGGAAATATTTGTAATTTCTTTTGAAAGTAAGTGGCATGTTAAGCATTGTAAAAACATCTTGATAACATCTTGCATGTAAACCGGGCTCAATAGCTGTCTTTCCTAAAACATATCAGGAGTCTTAAGTGAGCATTTAAATGGGTGGTGAATGCAAACAGAGGAACAGGTATTTCTAAAAGTGTTTTAGGATATCTTTAGGAGAGTGAGTGATGGTATAAGACACCTGTAGTCTCTTGATCAAGCTTTAAAACTAATTGTGTGTATTGGTTACAGTCTGTTTAACTGTTGTGTCCAAACTAGTGCTTGAAGTGTTAATGCTTTAGCACATCACTGTTTGGGGATTCTGTTTTGGAGAACAGAAGCCTCTTGAAATCTAATTCTACCTAAAGTAAGAATGAGAACATCCTCATTCCCATCCCCTTACCTGACTAGCTCTGTGGCTGAGTGGAACGACTGCTGTGAATGCCTGCAGAATCAGGTCCTTAGTTGCCATGCAAGTCTGTTAAGACACTTACTAGCAGTCTGAACAGTAATCTGTTACAAAAATGAGATTTTTCTTCTTCTTCTGTGTCCCACCTCAAAAGAAATGTAGAGCTGCATGATTTTCTACATCCCTTAAAAATGATTTAAAAAGAGCCACAAGGCTCAGTGTGTATCTGAAGCTGGGAAGTTAGCTATTTTTGGCTTCCTTTCATGGCTGAACTATAGTTTAGGAGCCATTTTTTGTTTCTGATCAGGTTGCAAAGACTTGCAGCTTCTCTGCGCGGGGTATTTAAGGCTGGGCCTTATCTTTCTAATGTTATCTGTGAAAGTATTCTTACCATTTTCAGGAGCTTTGCTCTGTTGAGTAAAGGTATATGGGATTAGGTATATAACTTGTAGCCTGGAAGCTCTGTGGGATAGGAATCTTTCTTCTCCTGGGTAATGGGTTTTGCATCTTTCCCTTATTTGTTTTCTCTTTCTACAGAAAGTCTCTCAGCAGAAGTTCAGTGAGATCAAGAATGTCACTGAGATCCCCCAAGGTTTATTCTTCCCTGCAGAAGGGGGTAGTCATCTGGGATCCAAAACCACTTCAGGTGAAGAAAATTTTTGAAGCTTTGAAGAAAGGACTTAAGTAAGGATTTTTTAAATATTGTAATTGCCTCACCTAGTCATGGTGCTTAACTCTGTGTGTCACGTTGTTCTCGGTGTCTTCTCTAGCATCTCTAAACTTGCAGTGACTTTCCTGAGCACTGGATTGTGAGCTTGTAAGACAACAGTTTCTCTAACTCTTTGCCTGGCTGCTTGCAAACAAGGTCTTCTGGGTCTGCTGATGTTTTTGTTTATTCCTAGTTTGTCACGTTTCTGCCAGTCCCTCACTTTAGAGAACTTTGTGGGGAGATGGGAGACTGTCCATCTTGTGTGGAGTAACTGTATTCCCAAGGAGGAAAAGCTTTCAGATCATACAAGGTGGCAGGCAGGGAGTCTGCAGGTCAACGGGAAACTTGAAGAGGAGTTGGACAAGCAGACTTCAGGGGTGACTGGAAGAAAGCTTCTGGAGAGGGAGCCGTGCAAAGTTTGGTTTGACTCAGAAAGCCTCTGAGCTGACTTAAAACCAAACCTGAAAGCAAGGGCATACCCTGCAGGGACACAAGTGGGGAGATGAGTTCATAAATTGTTTCTAGTCTGTCTATGCTAATTTGGGAACATTTAAAGTAAAGAAATAGGTATTCTAGTTTATTTTTTAAACATACTGTAACTTTTGAGTTTAAAAGCCCTCTTTTTACCTTTGGGCAGCTTATTGTAAAGAAAAGGTCTAAGTAGTTGCACGTGAAAACTTTAGCTGACGTGAGGTGATGCTACAGAGCTGTAGTAGGACCCCATCTTCTCACGGGCAGGGTAAATTACACTATTAAATTTGCTAGGTACATTATCTTGCTTTAAATGTAGCACCATTTCCGAGTCTTACAGCTGACTGCATAGTCAGTGTTGCATTGGGAGAGACTGTAGTAAAAAGGCAAAAGGCCAAATTTGTCCGCAGTCTCCACCAGGTGACCAGGTAGGGTGTATGCTGTAGGCATAATAAAGATCAAAGGATGGGCTGGCAATCTGAATTTTGGGTGCTCTGGCTTTGAGGAAGCTGTCAGTTACCTCACTGAAACAGTGATGTTATTCAGTGCTGAAATGGCAAATAAAAAAAAAAATGGATGAGCTTACTTTTTTGGTATTATAGACCAGAAAGTAAGAAATAGTGCTGGGGCTGTTCAGCTGTATCTTTGAGTACGTTAATTATGGTAACTCATCAAGCTTTTACAGAATCTTCAAATTTTTTATTTTATAATATTAATACTATATACTTTAAAAAGTGCATAAGGTAATATATTTATGTGCATCTTAATCATTACAGTTGGTGTTGACGAATCTGGGCTAGGGTTGTAGGAACTTTATTTTAATCCTGAAGCTACTATAGGAAGATAAAATACCATCCCTTGGATTAATAATTCCTATAGCTTTTTCTGCTGGCATCCCACTAACAGTTCCTTCATGTATATTACTGCCATCCCCAGAATTTTTTGTTACTGTATTAGATCATAGATTTTAAAGCTAAGAACACACAAAAAAGAACAGTAATAACTTGTTGCAAACTCAGATGTGTTACGTTTTTATGCCAATAAAAGACTATAAAGTCTTAGCCTTAAAGTGAGTCAGTATCTTTATTAATAGATTTAGATTTAAAACAAATAAAGAAATCATATGTTTTTTGCAGAGTTTAGAATTTATCAGGGCTTAGGGAGGAGAAACCATAAAATGGATCAAAATTTGTTCCCAGTTCTGAAAGGAATGCCATGTGATCAGGCTCCTGCCAAAACTGAGTAGCTAACTAATTGACTAAAGCAACCTACAGAAAACAACTGTATCAAATAGCAATGCAAAGTCCAAATTTTAAGTAAATGCAGACTAAGTCCAGTTTCTACTGGAGTGGCTCAAGTTTTTAATACAGAGCACGTTTTACGTGCTTCTTTCCTTAGAGTTATGACAAATAACTCTTAATTCTGTTAACCCTCTGTGTACCATTCCATCCAGCTAGCAACTCTAACATGCTTAAATGTGAAAGTGCTGAAGCTCTCTTGAAAGGAAAGTAAACCTTTTCCTGCCACCAGCTTTGGCTACTTCTGCACTGAGCTGTTAACTGGAAGGCAGTTAGAGTGCTGGAGCCACTGGGTGTCTTGAGGGAACTGGGTTTGTAGCAGTAAGAAAATGAAACACATCAAAGCACATGTGAAGAAGTGCAGCTGTCTGCACATAAACACATGTATTTTGACTCTTCAGACCCTGTGTTCCTTACCTAGTATTTTCTAGGTAACTGTGTTCCCCTCTTAAACATAAAGGAAGAAAGAGTTACCTGAGTCTGCTCTGGACTAAAAGCAAAGTTGGAAAAAGGTAGTCTCAGTAGAAATAGTTCTAGGCCCTTTGGCAGCTCCTAAGGGACAATACTGGCATGCAAGCAACTCTATAGAAGGCAACCAGCACCAGGTACTTTGCAACTCGCGGAATAGTTTCTGTTCTAAAAAAAGTAAGTTGCGTCAAGAAATTGTCTAGCATATCCAAGTGTCTAGAATACCTGGTGGTATTCAGGTCTGTTTGCTAAAACAGTGACTGACAGCTGTGCTGCCTTTCATGCAGAGTACTTCTATGAGCTTAGCCCTATAATACAAGGGTTTCATGTTGCAGTCCTTTGGCTTTGTAAGTTGGAGTTGGGTGATGAATACTTACTCCTCAGTAACTATAAGAAGCAAATGAACTGGTCCTCTACCTTACGGAAAAGGTTCCAGAAGGCCAAGCAGGAGTAGTTAAACTGGAAAAAGAGCTCTGTCAGCTGGAGTTCGTGTGTTAGAACCTTCTATTCTCTTCCTATGTCCCTCCTTTCCTCTTGCCTTTGCTAGTACTTCCAGCTCTGCTGTCTTATTTTGTGTTTTGCCTCAGTAAAGCCTGTTAACTAGAATGATCTGTTTTAGAGGAAGGGAAACAAGAAATGCCAACTGTGTAAGTGCAGCATGTGTATGCGAACTCAGCAATGGCTGCCTTCCTGAATTGCGCTGTGGCATTTCACAACTTGAGGGAATAGCAAGGATTCAGGAGATAAGCAACATCCTTAAAGGTTAGGTAGCAATATCCAGCATCTATTGGTACTCATTGTGTACTTAGGCTCCTCATCAAGAGATGCTCCTCTATGTCTGTCTCCCTTCTTAGGAGTAACTCTGCATTTAGAACAACTGTTTGTCTATGGCAACCACCCTTTCTCCTCCTTTGAACCCTGACCCTTTATATGGCCATTCACAATCTCCAGAGAGTAAAACAGGAGAAAGAAGTGGCTTTGCAACATTCTGCTGAAAAACTGTTTGGGGAGATATTGTAATGAACCTACAAGAAGACTATAACACCTTAGGTTTTCTTCCTTTCCAGTGAGTACTTGGAAGCACATCAGGCTGAACTGGATTATCTCTCTGGTCGACACAAAGATACGAAGAGGAATTCCAGATTGGTAAGAATGCTCTTGACGTTAATCACTTTTAATGACTTTAACGATATTGACACAAGAATAGGTGGTATCTCTCACTTCTGAAACTCCCAGGAGTTTTCCAGTTTCAGCACTGAAGTGAGATACAGCAGGGCATCACAATCTGAAATTTACCAAGCAAGTGTGGTCTGGATGGGAAATCCCAAGTTCAATTCTCAACATCCAGCTGTATTTTTCAGATCATGTTCCTTTTCTTATTGAGATGGTGTCTGTTCGATGATCGGTGCTCGTGCCTGTGTATAGACACGGATGGCCATAGAGATCAGGTCAGGCTTCGCTTGGTAAATGTGTGCTAGCAACTTAGATTCTGCCGTGTTCACAAATCCCTAGGAGTACCATCAGCAACAGTACTAATGAAAAGACAATCCATAGATCCAACTTTGTCTTTCATTTGGGACATAGTCACTTTTCATAGCTAGATTTAAAGAAGTTCAAAAACTCCCATATAGCATGACCAATGTCTAGATCTTTGCTATAGCTGATGAGACTGTTATTGTCTCACTTCGGGCATCTGGGTAAGGCACAGAAAATGAGAATACTTCTAAAGATACTGGACTTACTGTCGTCTTGTAGTGAACAATGGCTCTTAATCCACTGCAACTATTTAGTTACACATAGGGAGTATTGCAGTAACTATGACAGTATCTTTAATATGTACAAATATACAAGCTCTCCCATTCAGCCAGTCCTGTTTCTTTTTTCAGGCCTTCTATTATGACCTGGATAAGGTGAGACCTGTGAGCAGGAGGTGATGTTGCAAAAAGAGAAAAATCAGGGTGATGCTCACTCTGTTACTTAAAGATACTTTTAGAAAATGTTGAAAAAACTTCTCAAGTGTCCCCTCTCTTCCCTTCTCAAAAGCAAATTCGCTCTGTGGAGAGATACATCAGAAAATTGGAGTTTCACATCAGCAAGGTAAGGGAATTTCTATTCTGTATGTGTAAGGCTTACGCTGCTGTATAAGCACTCTCTGAATATAAAATACTTCCATCATAGCTGCTTTGAAGGGGAACAACATTGGGTGCTTTCTGAAAGCTGCAGCCATTCTTTACAGGAGGAGGGCTTGTTTGTTTAGAACCATTCCTGAAAAATAAATATTCAGGGTGAATGTTAGGCACAACCCAACCTGAGCCTGCCTCTGGAACCAGTTTGCATACTCTGCCAGTTTATTCAGAAAATTCTGCTGTGGGAGGATTTTCACATCCCCACTGCCAAGGGGCCTAGGTGGGCAGTTCTGTTGACTGCACGTCTACTACCTGATTCCAAAGGAATGAAACCTCTCCTCTAACTTAGGTTAAAACACCTACAACTTTACCTCTATTGAGGGGATCAAATTCCTGTTCCCCAAGTAACTTTACCATGAACCAAGTATTTCTTGTACTCCCTGTCTTCTGTCCTGATGATAGCGGAGCAAATAGTTTATCAATATCCCCTTCTTCTTTGCAGGAACGTCTAAATATAAACAGTTGCCCTTTATTCAATCTATAAAGTGCAGGAGTAGCCACGCGGTTCAGTGCTCTGATAATGAGTGGGGTTTTTTTTGCCAGGGAAGACTGTGCTGATGTTTCTTCCCAGAAACTTTTTAAAATTATGTCAGGGTAACTTTTGTTCTTTCCCCTCCTCCTCCCCATTTCCCCCTCCCCCTCAATCTTAAAGGTAGAAGAGCTGTATGAAGCTTATTGTATCCAGTGCAGGCTACGAGATGGGGCTGCTAATATGAAACATGCCTTTTCCTTGTCTCCTTCCACTAAAGCCTCCAGAGAGAGCCTAGTGGAGCTTTACAAGAACTTCCAAGGGTGCACAGAGGTAGGAAAAACTGCACACATCTGGCAAGAAGCTGACTCTTGGTACATTTTTGGCTAATAACAAAAGACTTTCTGATGACTTTTTTTAATGGTGTGGGCTTAAAAGTTAACCTGTAAGTGAAATACGGGTACATAATGCTAACTAAAGCTTGGACGATATCTACCGTATGTGCAGAGCTCTTGAATTCTCTGCCTTAACTTTTCAGCAGTGTAGTTTACCGCTGCTCAAAATGGTGTCGTGCATTCATGAAGACAAGTGAAAAGTCCTTAGGATTTCTATCTTAATACTGGAGCCCAATATAACTTTTGGTGGAAGTAGTGGGAGCAGAATTGAATGCATAATGAATATGCTATGCTATTGTTACAAAGCAAGCTGTGAGAGATAACTGAAAGTGATTTGCTCAAGCAGTTCAGCTCCTTTGTAGAGATGCATCACAGTTTCCTATCTTAAAAGCAGTTCGAATAGACTCTGTGTCGGCCTACCCTCGTGAAAATGTTAAAGTGTGTCCTTTTAAAAAAAATAAAATGGCTCAAATCCTTTAGAGGTGAGATAAGAAAATGGTATGTACAGCAAGGGTAGCTATTCTACATTGCTTTTCAGTCATGGTAACTGTTCAGTCTTCCTTCTAGGATATGTGCTTTATAGAAGGGGCATTGGAAGTCCATTTGGGAGAGTTTCACTTGAAGATGAAAGGTATGTTCCTTTCTTGTTTCCTTCAAGACTCATCAACAGAATAAATAGCCTCTGAATGGATGAGATTTCTACATACTAAACCCCTAGATCAGTGTTAGTTGCTTCCACTGGATTTCTGGATCAGACCCTGAACAGAATCTTGCCAAACTCCTGTCTGCTTCAGTGCTGTAAAACGTTATCTGCAATGGTGTTTTCCATTTGAGAACAAAAGTTGGCATGTTTTCTTCCCTCAACTCAAGTAAATTTTGTCCTTTGTGTTTTGGGCTGCAGCGTAGCTGCCACGTGGAGCTGTCCACAAGGGGGTGATAGCCACATACTTGGTTTATTGCAGGCTGAGGCTTTCTGTGGACTCTGTGAAACTTCGCAAATATTGGGGGTTTGCTTCTCTTTTTCAGGGTTAGTCGGCTTTGCACGTCTCTGCCCAGGGGACCAATACGAGGTGCAGTATACGGCAATTTTCTTTGTTCTGTTACTGTGATTTGGTAGGAATAGGAGAGCAAGGGTGCAATGTGTAGAAGGGGAGCAGGAAACAGATTACAACCGAGCCATGCACTGCACTGATGAGGAGAGTGCTGTAGCACATTCACTAGTTACTCTGGCCGCTGAGACTGAAGATGGAAAGATGTGATTTAAATGTTTTGAGAGGGTTTAAAGGATGGCAGTGATTGCCTATTGAAGCCATCCTGGCAGGTGATCGTGTTCAGAGCTGCCCTTGGATCAAACAACATTGTTGCTGCCTGTTTCTTGGCATGTTGCCCTTGGCATGATTTGAATGTGTTTTAGTATGTTACTGGGTTGCTTTCCTACTTGTAACAGTTCCAAATCAATTCTGATGTGCCTTGTATTTTAAGTACTGCTACCCTGAATATGTGACTTAGTTTTGCAGGTTCTAGAATGGATGGGAGTGTTTGAGTGAAGGCGTTAAAACTCACAAGGCTGACTCATGCCTCCCATCTTCTACCTTCATCCAAGTTCCTAAATATCTAGTGATCAAAGAAAATGCTTTGTCTCTGCAGTACTAGAACAGTGAGGCTTATTGGCCCAAGAGAATGTTTTGGGATGTGCTGATCCAACATCTTTCTTTCTTTTTTTTTTTTTAATTTCCCCCTCCATGGTTTCTAGGTGTTTGTGCGACTGGGACGCCAAAAATGGAGGCTGAAAGGCAAGATTGAGACAGATGACAGCCAAACATGGGATGAAGAAGAAAAAATCTTTATACCGAATCTGCATGAGAAGTTTGAAATCAAGGTGTGGTGTGTGATGGTTGGGCTAGAATCAGTGGGTTAACAGGTCATCAGCCATATTGCTTACCTGTTAGTCTACCATATATTTTTTGAAATTCTTAAGCATTTTTTTCCTACTTGATTAAAAATGGCAGTTGATGTTCTACTTATTGTACAAATATCTATGTGTTTTTTTCATCTCTAGTGCTCCTATTACTGAAAACTATATTAATGCTTCTGCTTTCCCACATTTTAGTCTGGTGTATGTGTATTTAAGATCAATACATGGGATTTTCTAGGGTCTAAAGTTTAGATGTAGAGACAGAAGGGAGTGTGTATGCAAAAACATATTTGTATCTCTCTCTCTCTCTTTCTCTCTCTCTCTCCCTCTCCCCCTCCCCCTCTCTCAAATATGACTTGTATCATCCCATGTGAAATTCTGGGATATTAAATACCTGGAGTTTTGTTCTCCATTGAAAACATATGTATGGAAAATGCATAACTGTGCATGTGTACTTCTTGAATATATAGTTCAAATATGCCCCTTTAAGTATACTACAATGTAGTGTTTTTTTGTGTGTTTTGCTTTGTTTTGCCATGTTTTACTCCAGAAATGCTCCATATGCCAATGGCATATGCTGGTACAAATTGTCTCTACGTTAAAGAAAACTGGCGGAACTCTGAGTAAAAGAATAAAGTGCCTCAAAAGAGGATAGGCTGTATCTTTAACAGCAAGGGACCAGTGGTCTACGATACACTGGTGATGCGTTGAGGGGACTCCTTGGGGGAACTCTGTAGTCTTCATAGAGCTGTGTGCTGTTGCCTCTGGCAGTGGTTCTGGCACTGACCTGGCAGGTGGAGTTGATCCTTAAACAGCTTTTCCGCTATAGCCTGGCATCTTTTGTGGGCTGGACTCTGAAGCATGACTCCTGTCAACCTAGAAGGGAGCTGAGACTGCAGGGTGTGCTGGATCTGATCCTGCTAGGGAATGGTGCCAGTGCATGGTTTCAAGTTCTGACTGCTGTGCAAAACAGCTACTGCAAGATTCCCCTCCTATCTGGAAGCAAAAGCTGGGTTACGTAGGATAGACTTTTTGACACTTTTGTCAGCACAGCCTTTAGAAATGTGCTTATAACATGTTTTTGCCACCACTGCACAATGAGAATCAGGTGAGAGAGTAATTCATGTGCCTGTTTACCCATAATAGTTGTAAAAACTTATATTTCTCTGTGTGATGATGAATCATTTTAAGTTTCGGAAGTGCTAATACAGTGTTTTACTTTCTTTTTTTTTTTTTTTTTAACTTGAAAGACTATTGACTCAGGCTCTCTGCACACTCTTGCTGTTTCCACTTTATGCTTAATTTTTACTCAGTACAAATACCTAGGAGATTTAAAGGGGAAAAAAAAAACACAAAAAACATTCAAAAGTGCCAAAGACAGTTTTCCAAAAGGAGCCTAGCAACATAATTTCCTCTGGCTCTTAAAGAAGATGCAGGCAGTTAAGTAATTCCTGAAGCGGACTTTTGGCACTTGTGCTGAAATTCTGGGCTGAGTCTCAGGCTGCTTTGTGCTCTTGTTGTAGATGTAGATCTTGATATAGATGTAGGACAATTTGATGTTCAGTTAGAAGTGTATTTTTATAGCAAATATTTATTAGCAAATGTTTTATTAGATTTTTAAGGTAGCAGAAGAAGCAAAGTGCCAGACTGGAAAAACTGCAGGCCTGAGCTATTGATTCAGAGCCTCCTGTGGGGTTAGAGGCAGAACTTACAAGTGTAAGTTCTGATTTTGGTCTGCAGCTGAGCTCATGGCAGTTTAAAAGGTCATAGTGGATGTGGACAGCTGTGCTTCCAGATTCCTCAGGCAAGTGAGAGCTGAAATAGTCTAGCGTAGGTAGGTGGATATTTGTATTGTATCGCTTCCTGAAACTCACACTTTATTATAATATTCTAATACGTACCACAGGCTGTACTATAAAAGACAATTATTTGTGTATGCCAGAACCGGAATTGTCAAAACTCCAGACAAAACCTACCTCTTAAGTCATAGTCAACCAAGTTCTGTTGTCAGAAGCACTATACAGCTCTGTCTCTCGCCCACTCGGGAACCTCCTCTCTGCTGGAAGTTGTCCGTGACCTGGCCCTTGTGGGAATACTGGCTCAACAGTTTACAAGCCCAGACTCAAGTAGCCAAGTTCTAAGTTTGTTGTAGGCGTCAGAGCAGATTGGAGCCCAAAGGCTCAAATCTCTTCCATGCACGTGAATCTTAGGATTATCTGGCAGGATGAAAATGGACGTGTTTGCTCCCACAGGTGACAGAACTGCGAGGACTGGCCACTATTCTAGTTGGTGTGGTGACATGTGACAGCATAAACTTCTTTACAACGAAGCCTCAGGCAATCATTGTGGATATAACTGAACTGGGCACCATCAAGCTACAACTGGAGGTCCTCTGGAAGTAAGTACAGCTTCAAATTAAAAAGCTGAAGCTAAAAATTTTGCATAAATTAAAGGCTCCTAAATATGTCACTCAGCAGCATTCAACATCGTAGTCCTCCTTTCTATTTGCAGAGCAGGCGCTGGATAGATAGCAGCCATGTGCTTTCTCACAGCAACCCCAGCTCCTCTGCCTGATCTCTGACTCTGTGGGACCAGGCCTGGGGGGAAGATAGCCCCTATTTCTGTGAGCCTTCAGTTCTTTGTACTGATGTTGCCAAAACCACGGCTAGCTACACCTAGCTCTTACTTAGCTTAATACTTTGTCAGAGTGAGCGTTCAACTTTGTAGTTTTAAGCAGTGTATATACCTCTACAAAACGTGAACAATAAAACTTAAAGGGGATGAAATGAAGCTGAGAATGACAGCTTTTAGGCACAGTAAAAAATATTGTTGAAACTTAGAGCAATCACTGTTACCAGATCACAGTTCTTTAAAAATGAAGCTTCCCCAAAGACCTAGCTCCTTTGTATTTACACTATGATCACAGCTGTGAGTATGAGGCCTGTTTGTGCACTACAGGGGAACTCAGTTAGACACACATTTAAAATAGTTTTTTTACGTGGTGCCTATGATTTGAGAAATTATTTTATAATTTAATTTTGTAAACTGATTTATTTTTGTAGTGAGTTACTGATGTGATTAAAGGCAAATGCTCATTTCTGTGGATGCTGCACTGAAACTTTTTCCTCACTCTAGACATACCACCATAGACTTTTGAAGTAGTGCTGTATCTCCTGATTCGAGTGTATCGCTGCACTCTTGCTAGCCTGTATCTTCTATACTCAGTTAGTTTGGCTGTATCTAAGTGGGTGTCTGAGCCTCATGTAGTCCTTTCCCAACAGCAGTATCTGGTATATTATAATTTGTAGCTCTGACATCCACGAATCATGTGATAACTTCCTGCACTTAGATCACTTCTTGTCAAAAAGAACTTAGTTTCCTGAGAATCTCTAAAGAATTGAGGAAAATGATGTTATGGTGTGGTGTGATGGTGTTTGGTGCTTTGTTTTCTTTTTGTTTTCTTTTTTCTTTTTCTCTTTTTTTTTTTTTGGCTTTTTTCCCCTCCTTCCCAATAGGGAAAGCAGGTATGTAACTCTGCAGACTTAACAGCAGATCTAACTGGTGCTGGGAGAGAAACCTCCTTTTCTTGGGAAGCCAGAACAGCAGCATAATGCTTGAGACTGTCAGTCCATGCTGAGTCTTATCTGCAACAAATCAAAACTTTTAAAACTGTTTTCATCTACTGCTGTCCAGGAGTTAAATCTAGCCATCTTCGTCAAGTGTCCAATAAAACAGTGGGCACTTTTCACTTATGCTTTTGTTTATGGCTTATCGTAGTGCTTCGTTCTTCCCAGTCCAACATGGAAAAGAGGCCTTTGAACATGCCTAATAATAAGGGCCTACTCGAAAGGCCACTTTGTGACCAGACTTGTGGTCTAGTCTCTCTCCAGGAAAAGGAGAACAGGAACAATGTTTAGAATAGGAAGGGCAGGGAGTTTGCAGACCAGACTCACCCATGACTCGGCCTTATACAACTCTTCTCATGTTGGTTTCTTGTTTTGTTAAAATTATGTAAAAATAAAAAAGCTCACATGTATGCACGGCCTGCTAAATATGTCAAAGAGCCAAGTAGGTCTTTCGGTAAGCGGAAGAGCTTCGCTGCCCTTGGGATAAAGTAACCAGATGCATCTTACAGTCAGACTTGAATTTCAGATCTTAATATCCTGTTTCTACTTTTAAGAACATTTGGAGACATCATTTGACCTAAGCTTTGTCGTAGGCTTCTAACCACTAACGGAAGTGCTGTATAAAGGTTTTCTGTCAAAATTCCTATCCAAGTTTTGATAAACAGTATTGGGTCACTTTCCTTGGGAGGAGGAGGAAAAAAAGCTTTATTGATCAACGTACTGTTTTCTGAGTGTCTCTGGGTATGCTGCAGTTCTTGACAACCCATTCTGTTGAACTATAAATGCAACTGGGCTAAAACATCACTCTTGACAACAGCATCTGAAATTTATTTTCAAACACACACATTGCAGTAAGTCGATGAGAAATAAACTCACACAGCGGAGTTCTGCCTGCACCTGTTGTTTATGACACTGTCTTTCCTCCCGAGATCTGACATTGGGCATGGGTACATGTTTTGGTGAGGTGCTGCAGCTGCTCTGAGACTTGTGAGGCCCCAATGTTTCTTATTTGAGAATTTGAGCCACTAATTAGTTGGCCAACAAAGCCTCATTCCAGAAGCCTTGACTACTGTGGCTCTGCGTTGTGATCTTGCATTATATGTCCTATGACGCTTCCTCTTCCTCATGCCTAGATAGGCATGTATTCCCTTTTGAATCAGAAAATGGAGACCACCTTGGCAGAGGTATTGAAAAGTATGTGGAATGGGGATGTTGCAAGATTTTTGTGTGTTTGAGTATAGATGTAGCTGTTAAAATCTGCTCTCTAAACCAAGGCCAATTAAAAATATTTTGTTATTCTGGCATGTGTATTTCTTAGGCTTGGGGAAGGAAGGCGAGAAGAGGGGCAAAGGAGGATGTATGGGCTCTCTTCCATACAGCCCTAACAAAGTCCCCCTCCCTCTTTCTTTGGCTTTCTCCTTCCTTCCTTCCCTTGTCATCTGCACCCCCCAAACACAAACACCACTAAAGCTTCCATTGCCTTTATTCTGGATGTGAAATGATCAAAAGCTCTGTACACCTTTTCAGGGCAGAAAGGACTACAGCTCTGAATGCTCTGTTTGCAGAGGTGCTTTTCTCATAAGGGAAGCCCTTACTTTTTCCCCTAGTACTTAAAGTCTAACATCTGAAGTAGCAGATGTGCACATCTGCTACTGAACGCTTGTGCAGTAAAGCAGACATACCTTTTTTTTATTGAACTGGGTATAAAATCTGTTCATGCCCTAATATAGAAAGTGCCGTACTGAGGGATAGCACGTTCACGGTGGGGTTTGGAAGAGATCACTTCTAAATCTCTCCTTGCTAACATATACAAATGGTGCTCTAACAGATGATCTCTCTTTGTATTTACTTTTGCTTGGTCTACTTGCTCACCTTTCCTCATTGTCAATAAGCTATATGAATACATGTGTATGTAAACTGTTCTTCCAGAAGGGCTGTACTTCTTCCCCTTCTTGTTCTGGGATCCTGCATAGTTTCTCAAATAAGAGCCTTAATCTCCACAAAGCAAATAGTTTTTGTGACTAAATAACTTTCTAGAAATATATAATTTATGTTGTCACTTGATTGTTGCTGTAGCTCACTGCCCGGAGTGCAGCTTTTGATTGGCAATTATATGCACTTTTTGGGACAACCATAACCCGGCTTTTAAAACTGGCAACAGCTGAGCTGTTAGTAGGTTAGTGGTGACACACTTTCTTGGGGAGTTTATCCCCACGTGGAATTTCTCTCTGTATGAGAGAATTCCAGCCGTGTGTCTCTGCTGCGCTTAAGTTTTGCGAAATGTGTTGGTTATCTTCCCAAGTGGATTCTCCAGAGCACTTCTACGCAGAGCTAGTAGACTCCTCCTCTTTGACAGCCCGTTTGCTGAAGTCATTTACAGAAAGGAGTAGTTACATGGCTATAACTCAGGGAGTTTCTATTTTAAAGGATAAAGTGTTCAAAATAACAGCTGCTTTTTTCTTTGAATTAAGAATAACTAAACAAATCCAGCTGCTCTGCCCAAACTTCCCTCAGAGGCAATCTTTCATTCTAGATCCGCTGTGTGAGAGATCCAAATGTAGATCATTCTTCCACTTCTAAATGTATATTTTCTTTAACTAGGTCACTAGTCTTCTGGGCTCTAATAAAAGTTCCTTCTACTCCTTTATAGACTGTGTCATGAGTGGCATGAATGAGCTTGGGCCTGTTGTCAAATTGCTTTGCAGGCTAGCTTGGCAGAAGGCTTCGGTTTTCTGGCCAACCTAAACAGCATTCTGAATTCTGTCTCTCTCATATGAAGAGCAAAGAGAAAGCCTGTATTCTCTTTTTCAAGACTTCAGTGAGCACCCTGTATGGGGATCTAAGTGTACCAACCAGCTAGGACCGCTCTGGCAATTTCTGCCTACTGGGAACATGGGCTGGCCTGGCTCACAAGGGTTAAGGAAGTAGAAGGAAAAAACCTCTGTGAATAGTAATAGAAAAAAGTCTGCGCTTTTGATGCATCCCTCTAACAGTCTTGCTTTTCTAAAAATTATAATCTGAACGGAGAGTTACTCACACAGGTATCTTTAGGAAGAAGCCCATCAATGTATTTTTGTGCTTTTGTTGGGAGGAGTATTGTATAGCCAAGTCCTACAACAAGCTGTACTAACCTTGAAATTTGTGGTTATTTTGCTTTAATGAATAACAGAAGCCAAATAATGGTTATCCTGTTAAAATTGCTTAGGCATTTTCACCTGCATTCAATAGGGAAAAGAGAAATCTCATGATTTGTTAATAACAGTGAGCCTAATCCAGTTGAGCAGGATTGTTTGTGTTAATGTGAGTCTGGAACCAAGTCAGGTCTTTCCACAAAGAGCCCTCCAGGCCCTCTGGATATTAAATATGTGGAATGACTGGGCAGGAAGGAAGCGATTAGGGCGCTGTCTTGGTGGTAGAAGGAAATTTAGATCCTCTAGGGCCGAAGACAAAATTGAGTTCAGGTCTTGCATGTTCCGCCTGGTTACTTATGTCCCTCTGAGGACATAAACCAGAAGGTGTCTTCCGTACCCAACTGAAAAATACAAGAGTGAGAAAATGGCAAAAATCTCAAGCATTTCACCCCTCCACAGGTTGGTGGTTATGGCAAAATATCTCACTGGGAATCCATGCTCAGTTCCATCAGGGCTGAGGCATCTCTGAATCTATGTGGATCCGAAGCTTCTGGTGTTATGGGAGTTTCGGTCTATGAAATATGAACTCTGATGAATTGTAGATCTCTCCAAGATTAGGCTGGGCATGTGCCTTTTGGATCTCAATGCTGAAGTCCTACAGCGGTGCTGAGGGAATCTAAAGGAGTGCCTTGTGGTGCATTAACATTGGCCTCCTGTGACTGATTGTATTGCAGAGTCAGGTACTTAATACCACTATTGTAATTAGTCATAACCAAATGCCAAAATGTGTTTGACAGTATAGAAATAAAATGGGGATAGGAAGGCAACACGTGATCAGAAGTATGTGGCCACTTCCGTTACAAGGAGGAACTAAATAGACCAGAAATTTTCAGCCTGAAAAGACTGTAAAGATAACATGTTCCCCTCAGTGAACATGCCTAATACAATGACTAGGGAATGATTATTCACAGTTTCTCTCAGTACAGTCACAGAGGCCACCCGAAATAGAAGTACTTGTTCATAATTCAAAGTTGAATAATGAAATTTCTGCATGCTTCTGACCTGCATGGAGGTTTTGTGTCAGTGAGCTCGGAAGTGACTCGATAAGCTAAGGAAAGGTGTGACTGTTGGCAACTATTATAGGCAATGGTCTGCTCGCAAAGACTGATGCGTGACAGATCTAAACTACAGGTTGCCTGAAGTTTGAGTATGCCTCTGGGGAGGGCCTACTTCTTAAACATATTTCCTATGTTTTTTCCCTTGAATATCCGCTACTGGGCTCTGTCAATGTCGAGATGCTGGGGAAGATGGCCCCTTAGATCTGTCCCAGCATGGTGCAAAGAGCTTACAGGCAAGAGATGATAGATGCTTTAGAGGGGGCTTCATTCTTTCCGGTGTCCCTTCACCCTCCTCTTCGCTCTCTCTGCTCGTTATGCTGCCTTGCAGTAACAGCGAGCGCATGCTTGTTGACAGGGCAGCAGAAGAGCTATCTTGCTAGAGGATTCTAGTAGTTGTAGTAGTCAGAGGCAGAGTGAATTTAGTTTGTTGTTCCTGTCACTCTCGTCCAAAGTGTAATTTTGCATTACTGCATTGCTATATTAAAAGCTAAAAATGAAAAATTTGAGGAATGGATTGCTGTGTCTCTTCCTAAGAAACACTATGGATGGAAGTAATTTCCTTCCATCAGTAAACATAGCAGGCTTTGGCTAAAAGGCTCTTACTGTCAGAAACGCGATTTATTTTCTGCATAGTGAGACAGTGCAGATGGTTGTTAATGTGACTCCACAGAACTGGCCTGTTTGATGAATCCCAGCTGGGTGACACTGGTTAATTTAGCCAATTAACCTGCACTGGGCAAGCTCACAGAGTGTTACCTCCACGCTGAGGATGACATTGGTGTATTCCACTGTGGGATGCTGCTGAGAACTGTCTCTGTGTGGAACATGAAAAGGTATAGAGAAGTGGAACTCTGCTTTTACTCAAGAGCAAAAGTTTATCTCTCTGTCATCAATTAGTCCTTGTTATCATTTGGATCTTTTCAGACCTTCCAGTGGTTGTATAACTAAATGCAGCTGACTTCATACTACTTGTTGGGTCTTTTTATTTAAATTGTTACCTGTGAGATTACTCTGTGTGTGTGTGTGTGTGTGTGTTTTTTAATAGCCTGTTAGCTTTTTCCAAATTGTCAGTGCTTAACTGGAAAAAAATAAACTTTCCTTTGGCACCAAAAGACATATCAGTAGGGAACAAAAGTAAAACTCAGTGAAAACAACTTTACTCTATTGAGCTTTCAATGTTTTCCCTCCCCTGAGGTGTGTTTTGGGAGTTCATCCAAGTCTCCTTAGACTGCAAAGGAGTTGGGAAAGCAACAACTGTGATGTGGTAGGTAATTGGGAAACCTTTTAGAGTAGGGCTTGTCAACCTCTCTTAGAGCATAGCCAGTATCCTCTGGGGCTAGAACTGTGGGCTTGTCCATGACTTTATGAAGCACATCACTTGCCATATATCATTATACAAGCTCCTTCTGCCAACCAAAAGCAATTACTTATAAATATTTTTAGGATTAAGAAGGTTTATAGAGGCTTTTCCAGGTAGTGTGTGCTTTTTAGGGGGAGAAGTAATAAAGGAAAATTGCAATTATATGTTTTATATCTCCTTCCTAGCTGGGATGGTATGTGTCCAGTGGCCATAAACAAGCAACCTATATTGTACTTGCCAACACTGGTACCTGTGCAGGATGCTGCAAAAAGACCGAGAGCTCTCCTCAGACCTTTAGCGTGTTGGACTTTTCTTCCAGAGATTGTGGCACAGGTCTCTGTCTAAAGGATGTGGAGAATTCTGTGTAAAACATAAGATCTTTTTGTCTACCTCTTTCTCTGCTGGTGAAATCAAGGAAATGGGTCAGAGAGGCATCTTTCTTTTTCTTCCTTCTAAAAGTTTACTAAATCTCACAATTCAACTCCTAACAGCCATTCCTTTTGGTAGATGTCTCTGTGCTTTCTGGTCTCACTGACACTTAGGTCTTTGTGTCTCCTACTACAGCCCCTTTGACACGGACAACCTGTTTTTGTCACCTGGAACCACTGCCAAATTTTCTGTGGGTAGCAGGAAAAGCTCTTTATACAACTGGACCCCACCGAATACTCCCAGCTTCAGAGAGAAATATTACCTGGTGAGTATGTTGAAGAAAACAAAATGCAAAGCACAGACCTTAGGACTAAGTATCTGGCTTAGATCAGGCTATTAAAGAATACACATAGAAATGTAAAAACACCTAGCGTTCCAGGGCCATTGTAGCTTATCTGGGGAATTCATTATTTCTTCTTTTAATCCTTATTATTTTGAGTTCCATTTTGGATTTTGAAAAAGGAAAAAATCCCTGCTAAATATTCTTGGCAGCCAGAAGGGTAGAGCTGTGGGCACGTGCTCAAGTAGTCTACAGCAGGAAAAATCAAACTAAGAACCAAGCAGTCTCAGCAGGCATGGAGTAGAATGGTGTCATAAGGGTACCATGTGACTCCTCCCTTCCTCTACCTCAGTCCCACTTTTTTGGCAACTGTAGCCCAAATGAGCTGAAAAATCTGTCTTCCTCCCCATGCATTCAAGAGGGTTTTAATCTAATGTGTATTTTATGTGATCCTGTTAATTCTGCCGTGTCTCAAAGACCGATAACTTCACGTATATGTTCCTGTAATATCAGCTCTAAGCCAGGGTTGGTGTTGTCTCACCACTTCAGCAGAATATATATCCTTCTGGAAACAGGGCTATTACACATACAGGGAATGCTGGACTCTTAAAAAATGAATGTTTCCCCTAACCACTACGTTCACATGCTGTTCTGAGCTGATGAGACATGAAAACTGCTTCGCAAGTTTCCTTTTTTTCCAGAAACAGCTTTATAGCTGTCAGGGTAACTTTCACATAAAAGCTCTCATGCATAACTACTGCTGCTCCACTCCGTTCATCCTTTAGGCTCTTAGTACTTTGTTTCGACAGTTTCTTCTGTCCAGTTGGTGCTGGCTTGGTTACCTTGTGCAGAGGAGCCCCATGTTTCTGATCGCTTCGGGTGTGTATGTTTCCAAGAACAGGAAACAATGGTTCTCTATCTTTGGTGGTATCTGGTGCTTATCAGTCATATGTATGCTCACTTATGAATCTGTTTGCTGCAGTCTGTTTTGCAACAAAGACAGAACCGAGGGGATGTAAAAGATGAAGCTCAACCTCCCAGCATACTGAGCTACTTGGCTGCCTGTGATTTTGGTGTGCATTCAAGAAGCAAACCTCACAGCGCTGCAGAGACAAGTGAGGCGGACTCATTCAGCTCTGAGGATCAGAAAGGGACAGAATCCAGAATTACACCTCCAGCTCTAAGCCAGAGGACCTTGCCATTGGTCCTTGCCATTCAGGAGCCTGGTGCAGAAGAACGACAATGTCCTCTTCCAAATCACACAACTTTAGATATCCTGAAGAAGACTCCATGTGTGGATGCATTTCCAAATACCCCACCTAGTTTTCTGATTCGTGGCAAAGGCAGTAGAGATTCTATCAGCCAGACCAGAAATCACCGTATGACAGAGCAAGAAAACATCAGCCAGAAAAGCTTGAACGCTGAAAATGACTTAAAACTAGAGAGATGTGCAAAGTCAATTGATAAGATTCTCCAAGAAGTATTAAATTTGCTGAAATTGCATAATATGAGACAAGCCCAACTGGAGAAACTGGAATACCAGGTTTCATCTCTGAGGGATAAATTAAAGGTATGGTAGTATTTTACTCTTGGGAGATGGTGCAGTTTGCACTGTTACTCCTAAATATTGTAAAAGCTTCGTGACCCCTTTGTGAATTTTGACATCAGAATGCATCAACTGCATCTTCCCCAAAAGTAAGTTTGGCCACCAGAGGTCAGGCGCTACTCAGAAAAGGCAGCCTCAGGAACTAACAATAGAGTAGCAGTATGTTGCAGAGCATCTCTCGGGGACAGCCTTCAAATACTGTGCACAGGTTAATGATCCAGAAAAAGAGATTAACAAGCTGAATCTAGTCAAAGTGGGAAATAGACTGGGCTAAGCAGGATCTGAACTGTATGTCAGAACCTCTGCATTATGTGTTGCTTTTAATTAACGTGACACGCAAGTAGATACTTCTCTAATTTTTTCAGATTTAATATACCTTGAGATGACTGCATCAGCTCACCAAATGTAATGTTTCTGCAGGGTCACCTGTGCTTCTGCAGGCAGTTGAAGGACTGACTTGTCAGAAAGACTTAACTGTATAATGCTGAAAGTATTTCTTCCTTTAGAGGAAAGATCCAGGAGAAGAGCTTTCTGAAAACGGTAGATTATACTGCAAATCCCATAGCCTTGTAGTACGTACATGGGGCCAGCCTGCAGGCTTGGAAGATAAGCAACTGTAAGACTTCAGCTGATTTCTGGAATAAAATTGTTATTAAATGCTGCACTGACATCCTATTCCAACACAAACACTTTTAAAAAGTAGAGGGAAAAAAAACCCACAAGTACTGCAGATCAGCAGCCTTTTCAAGGGGGTGAGTGCTGGTGGCCCTGTGAAATTCAGTACTGGTTTTTAAGTGGAAGGTTCTTCGATACTGTGCTGGTATGCCACAGACCCCTCAAATTGCTGCTTCCAGATCTGAAGCAGGGAATGAATGAAAATTGTACCAATTGCAGGGAATGCAGGGAAAATCAGCTTTCACACCAACACTAACAGGTATGGAAATCCAAAGAAAGATTGATTAGATGGATTAGGTATGAAAGTATATTATGAAATTAATTAGCAGCATTACATTGGGATCAGTGATGTACAAAGAGCTAACCTTCCTGGTGTGTTAAGAATAAAATGAGAGAAGCAAACTGATTTGTTGTTAAGAGCAACTTGAAAATCATCAAAGAACTCTTGCAAAATGACTTGATCCATGCAAATAACAATAGTTTTTTCTCCCTTTCTAAAAACAGCTAAAGACACTTCCTCCCAAACATTCATCTATGGAAAGTTTAATGGTGGAGACAGTGATGGAAAGTTTTGACTTTTTGAATACTGACTGCAGTGCTGATGAGCTTTCATTATTTGGAAGCATAAGAACAGCCAGTATCAGGTACGTATCTGCAGCCCTTCATTAAAGGGGGGCAAGGGAAAGGGGTAAGGAAGGCTGATCCCAGAAACACTTACTGATACACTTCACTCAGCTAAGTAACGATTGTGCAGGGCTGCTAATGGTATGGATATCCAGGAGAAAGACCAATTTTTTGCTAATACTCTGAAATACAAAATGTTTTTAATGAAATTTTTAAGGAAGTGTTATAATTAAAAATGCTGTTATCTGTTAGGTGTCTGGTTTGTGCCTTTGCAACTTGGTTGAAGGCTATTAATGAGAGTGAGTGTCTTGAGGCTTATGTAGTGAAAATATAGGATTTTAGAGGCTAAATGTATCTAGGAATTTTAAATAGAATCTTTTTTCTTTCTCTTGAGATTTTTTCTGCATCACTGTGCTGAGGTAACATTTCAACTCCTTTTTTCTGCTCTAAACAGCACATACAATGACAACACGTTGCCGTCCCTGAGCTGTGACATGAAAACAGAAACAAGAGATGTAACTACTGGTGATGACAGCTTAGACACGCTTTTGATAACTCATCTGAAGCTGTGCAAATCCCTTTTGCAGGTAAGGAATAGCCTGTGGGTTTCCAGGGCAGGTTGTAATTGTTGATTTTAATTATGGACAAATGGTAAAGATGTAGCTGGTTCTCCTACAAAAGTTGAAAGACTCAGAATAGAAATTAGGTCTGAACAATGCAGTGTATACACACATCATAGAAATGCTGGGGAAAAAAGTTCTGCTGCTCTCTTTTGGCCTCTTGGTTTAGCTGAAGCAATAAATAATAACTCTGTATCCAAAGGAATGGTGAGCAGACTGCAAATGAAGTAGGACAGATTTCGGGTGGGTTGTGTATTGATAATGATGTTGATTCTATGAGTGAAAAACTACTACCACTAGAACGAAACTGGTAGTATGCAGGAAATGTAAGGACTGTATAGATCTCCCTTTGAGACATCATGTCCCCATTCATTTCAGTTATAATGCTCGAGCACATACATTGTTTGAATACAGTATTACCTCTGATGAGGATGGGCAGCAGAGGACCACAAAACTATTAGTATTGGTCTGCTATACAGTTGCCAAAGGATAGGTGCAGAGAAGAATTCCCAATGCAGGGACAGCCTATACCGTAGAATGTGTTTTACTTATCTGTTATGCTGAGCAGCTTTGCACTGAGAAGTGACCTGTCCGCGATGTGATGGGAAAAGAGGCCTTTTTAGAGAAGCTGGTGTCTTCACCCCTGATTCTAGAAGCTAGATTCTAAGAAACAAAGCCATTGTCCTCTTGAGCTTGATAACTGCCTTTGCTTCAGCTACTGAGAAGAGCATGTTGTATTTCAGAAACTGAGGTCACCAAACATAGCCCAGATTGTCCAGGAGAGCCTTTTGGAAGAAGTATTACAGCAGACACAAGTCCTGGCGGATGTCTTGGATGTGTCTGCTGAAGAGAGTGAGTAACTGTATTATGCCAAGGCATGCCAGAGGTTGTGAGAGGTCCAGGTAACACTGCTTGTGCAACCCCAAACATATCAGGGTTTCATTCTAAATTCCTTAGCAAATATTCATGTTGTTAAACCAGATCTTACATGAAAAATTGTAAGCTGTTAGAAAAAAAAACAGGGCTTTTTTTTTTCTTTTTTTTACTGCAAAGAAGGAAAAGGTATCAAGAAGTTTTGTTCAAAGAAATAACAGCTGGAACAGTGTGTTTTAGAAACAAGGATGTTACAGATAATGGGAGTTTGTGGTCAAAGAACGGCAAAATAGCCTTAATAGCCTCTTTTATATTTATGCTTTTACTTAGTGAGCTAACAGCTCAACTTCTGTATATGTTTGCAAGAAGAGTTTGAGGTGCACCCTCTCCCATCTCAGCCATTTCCCTACTACCTTTTTCCACTGATTGTTGGTTATCACAAAAATCATAAAGGCACCATGGGAGACTTTGAAGTTATTTGTTCTCATCTTGGTAACATATAGTGGCCGGAATGCAAATCCTAGTTGGAAGCACTTGCTGACATAACTTTTATGCTGAAAGACCTGAGAATGAATTGTCCCCCAGAGCAAGGCTAGAAGGCTCTTTGCAATAATCCGATGAGGAAAGTGTAGGAGTCTGAAATGCAGAATAGAAGTTCAACTTCTCTACAGGTACGAGCAAGAAAGGATAGGATTTAAACGATAGCAAGAAACCACAGAGTATTCCTTCAAGTGTTCTTTAAGTCTTTGATGGAAGGAGGCATGCCTCAGCCTATTCACTGGGGTTCAGAGTTCTGCACTCCTGATGCCACATAAGGCAGGATCTCCAAAATGCTTGGCAATGGCACAGCTCTTGCTGGTAGAATTGGAAACAGTTAAAGTTAAGAGAAAGTGCTTCTGAAACTCGACTCAGATGCCAGAGGAAAAATGAGTAATGAGTTGAGGGGCAGTAGAGCTCTGCCAGGCATCTTACTCAGATCTCATTATGACAGTTTAGGACCTCAACCCTAGCTTGCTGAAATCAGTGCTTGCAAGACGTTAAAATACTGGCAGGAAATCTCCAGCTTTGAACAAAGCCAGAGGTATAATGCAAATACAACTTATGCTGACACATCTCTAGATATGCCATTTTGTACCTAATGTCTTATGTAAAATCCAAAATCCACTGGAGCTCACTGACTTCTTAAAACTTAATTTTTCAGTTATTCAGAAAAGTAAAAAGAAGAAGCATTGTCTGAAAATCTGGAGTGACATTGCAGAGCCTGGCAGCATCTTGTTTGCTTCAGTACAAAAGTTCCGTCATGCACTGAAGTACATACTGACGCTTAAAGTGAAGGAAAAATACCCTGGTCAATTAGAAGCAGGTACCAGTCCATTTCCTGAACATAGGACCACTTGAGTTTTATCATACTGCAAGGCTAAAGGCTGTCTTTGGGCGTTTTAAAAATAAACTAAAACTTTTCAGTACTTATCTTAAGGCATCTTGGGCCTAATCAGTCTTTCCTTTTCTCATTTGTTCTTTTCTGTGTTACCTTCAGTATTGCAGAGATTGCTAGAGCAGATTGTCACCTGTGATGGGTTGCTCCGCTCTCCATACCTCCAAACAGAACCAGTTACTTTATTCCAATTTTGTAGCTACCTGGAGAAGCGCCGTATTACCAGCCTGGAGAAACACTTGGGAAAACTTGCTAAAGAAGGTAATGGCAGGTACTTGGCTCCTTCACTTGAACTGACAAAGCCAGCAGCTGGCTACTACTCAAGAAATACTTTTGGAGCAGAGAGCAGCCTATCATAGCATTGCCAATTTGTTTCCATTTTAATTTCCCTTATGCCTATGCAATTTTTAATTAGAACAGGAAAGATGCACCTGGTTCCCACATCTAACTAGGTAGAAATGAAACAAGTGTGAAGGAAGGGTTTACCTCAAGTGCCATAAGAAAGGGGGTTCTATAACATGCTGAAGTTAGAGAAGAAACTAAGCTGGCAACAATCTACAGCTATATTCAAGGACTGTGTAAATGGTCTGTAGCTTTGTGTGACCATAGCAGCTGTAATGAGCCACAGAAAATAGCATTAAAATTCCAGGTAACTAATACACATTTGCTAAGAGGCAGTCAGTGTCTGCTGAAACTTAGCCCAACATACGAAGGGACTTCAAAATTTAGCCTGTTTCAGAAAAGAATTATTTTAAAAAGAGTCCTGATAGTGGCTGTACTTTTAGTCTTATTTTGATACAGATAGCTTATCTGGTAGGGGAATGAGAACTTGTGCATTACTAGTCAGTGAAAAAGAGCTGGAATATTCTTCAAGTTCAAATGGTCAGTCCAGTGCCTGACTTCTTATTTTTGAAAAGATGTAGGCTTTTCTTTTCGACCATACAACTCGATGTTTGAGAGATGTTTAAAGAAATATTTTGCTTGATTTTTTTTTTCCCCTCATTTTAGGACTAGTCAAATTGTCCTTCAGTCCGAGTGTGCAGGAGTTCTCTCGCAGTGTATGTTGCACTTAATGCACCCAGGTCCTAAAAGGACCAGGGCTGTGCTGCATCTTGTGAAAAAAAATTGTGAAATATAGTCACTACTCCATTTGTTGGACAGTCTCAGCCCAGGAGGAAATGAAACAACAAAAGGGAAACAAGACAGGCTGGTCAAAGGGGCAGTCATCTTGATTTGCTTCCTGCTGTGCCAGGCTTGCTTATTATCCATGTGACTAACTGCATGAAGCTGAAGGAGACAAAACTAGAGGGCAGTTTGTCTCCTCTTAGGAACGCCTTCATATGTTGGTAAGTGAAGCTGAGTCCTTTCACTTGCAGTAATGCTAATTGAGGAGCTACAGTGCCCGGGACGGCTGAAGACCCTTAAGAAACTGAAAGGAAAGCGACTGAACAAGCTCCAACCTCTACCACAGACTTTACGGCTACTTGGGATTCTACAGCTAGACGACAACCACCGCGTCAGCAAAGCAGCCACTTCATGCCTCTCTCGTGCAGCAGCAAACAAGAACTTTAGGGAAAAGGTAAAACTACTTCTCACTAGCCTTTCTCATATGATGCTGAAATGCGTACATCTTGTTCTCTCCTACAATAGCACTTTTGTCGTTTATGCACTTCAGTAATCTATTAACTAGAAACTAAAGCATAAGAGTGCTGAAGTGATTCATTTACGTTCTTAATTCAAATAGGTAAAACAGTGTTGATAAGTAAAACGGGGCTAATATTGGCAATCTGAATTTGATTGATTACATTTGAACTTACAAAAGCCTTTTTTTTTTTTTTTTTTAAATTTTCCCCTTTAAAGGCTCTGCATTTTTACACTGATGTTCTAGCTGACTGTGATGCAAGACTTCAGCAAGCTGCGTGTTTGGCCCTCAAAAACCTCAGAGTAAGCATTTAAACCTCTATTTACTTTTTGTGCATGTCTGTCCAAAATTGTTGGATGCAAGAGTGTATCTATGTGTTTTAGGCTGTTGAAATTATGTTTTCAACTTCATTATATTTGGAATTAATGAATTTTTTTGATGTCTAGAGTTCCAGACAATTACTGCTATTATTCAAAAGGCAGCAGGCATAGGAAACTGCATTCACAGTGTTTGCAGTCTTAGGTTTGATACGATATGCACAATACAGTCTTAGAAAGGTACATTCTTAGAAGGACAACAGACACTCTCTGACTGGGGGACATCTAGCATGTAAAAAAAAAAAAAATTAAAAAGAGCAATGGAATCAGTTATTAAGACAGTCACTGTAACTATAGAAATCTAAAGCTAAATCAGTTCATGTTACTTTAACAATAGATGATTATAGTCACAAAATAAAAGCAATATTTGCTTTGCTATTTTAAGAAACTGTCAGAGTGGATTTAAAGTCTTCCAGCAGCCCACAAATCTGTAATAATTTAGTTTACACACAAGAGATGATTGTCAGTACAGTTTCTACAACCATGCAGTCACAAGATAGGCCCCAAAAGCCGCTGAGTCTTACTCTCAAATAAGGTCAGACTTCCAAAGTAGCAGCTACCCTTGCAAAACTTGCATTAACTCTTTCAGTTAAAGTCCTGATTCTTTATTGTGTGTTACGCTAATGCAACAGCACTGCAGCAGTGAACTGTGCCCTAGAACTTTAACACTTTTTCATGCCCTGAAACAGGACAGAAAGTGGCAGAGAGAAGCTTATGCTCAGAAAAATAACTAACCGCGATCTGATGTGCTAAAGGAGTAAAGAAAGAGCACAGTAACGTTAGTAGCTGCTCACTTTGCTGAAAATATTAATCAAAATGCCTGCTAAAAAGCTACCTTTGCTATTTTTTCTCTTCTCAAACAGGGTGTAGAAAGTATTGAGGAGGTTGCCCATCTGTGCCAATCTGAAACAGAGGAAGTTCGAAATGCAGCCAGGGAAGCAACACTGTCCTTCGGTAAGTGTTTTGTATAACTTAAAAACGGAAAGAGTTGTATGTAATATTGCAAAACCAAAATAGGCCTGAAGATCTACCTGTGTGGTGATCAGTCTGAACATATCTCCGACTGTGGAAATGCCTTAGGAGCAACTCTTTAATACCATTAAGATAAACGTCATACCACATATAATAAGCAAAGGCTCCCTTTAAAGTTCGCAGAACTAGACCGAGGAGATTACTGTAGGATAAAGTGCTTTAAGAACCACTGAACTGTTTAAAGGGATGGCAGATGGGTACTGAAAGTGCTGACAGTGCTGCTGGAGTACTTATTAATGGAGTACTAGCATCACCAATTATCCCTTCCTAGATCTTGGTAAAATGACATTTGACCCTGGCAGGTCATAATAAAGCCTCTTTTGGCTCTACTAGATTAGCCAAACAGACTTAAGGATCTTTTATGATGTATCGTAACACCAGTAGACTCTGTGCCTGGTAATGTCATCAGCAGCCACCCAGAAACTGACTAGTTGCTTCTAATGTTGATGTTCCTATTCTCCTCCAAACTGCTCTGTTGTGAATACTGGAGGGGTAATGAGTACGGATATAAAAAGGTCTTATACTGGTTCATTACTTCTGCTGAATTCAGCACACCTGCAGTGGTGTCGAACTGCTAATGAAATGTCAGTGTTCTAATCTTGCTACCATCATGTAGAGAAGGGAAAGGGGAAATACCTAGACTAAATATCTGAAACGCATAGCAGCTAGAGAGTGTGTCCGGTTATCTAAGAGATGATAGCTATTAATTGTCCTATTCTGTTCATCCTAGATTCAGGCTTAGTTCTGTATATCCAGACTTACTTCACAAAAATACACTCAGATTCTCATGTGTTACAAAACAAGTTTTCCAAATGTGACACTCCAAATAACTAGACATGTTGGAGACTTAAAAGGAAGCATTTACACCAGACCTGATTTTTCCATGGTAGCTTCTACTTGTTTTTGGAAGACTATTCCTTTATTAGAGAAGGCTTTCGTCACTCCTGAAAGTTCTTTTCAGCTCTGAATGAAGCCACAACAGGAAAAGCATTTCTAAAGTGTTACTTTTCTCAAGGTGTTTCCAACGGACATCTTTTCCTCAGCATGGGATATGTTTCTCTTCCTCCATAGGTGAAAAGGGACGGCAAGCCTTTGAGAAAATGGACAGGATTTGCTGTGAATTAAGAGACACTGTACATCAAGAGGCTGAAATTGAAATCACAGTATTTTAGTAGTGGAATATGAGCAGCTAAATCGCATTGTCTACAAAGCCAGATGTGGGTACCAGAAGATTTTCATTTGTTGTTTGTGTCTGTTTTAGTTGCACTCCACTGTATACACATGCTATAGTGACAGAATACAGGTTTCCAAAGTGGGGTAGTTTGGAACCTAGACTAAGTAGACCGGAATCTCCATCTTTTTCACTCCCAGCACTGGTGAAATCTCAAGTAAAAAACAGGAAGAGTAAAAAACAGGATCTCTGAGAAGACAGAACCAGGCTGTCACTTGAGTTAAATCCCCATCTCATTGGAAATGTCTTCTACTGCACAAACTGTAAGTCAAATCTGGTAAATTTTTCTGTAAGGATTTCATTAATTTGACATTTCTCAAAGAGGAACAAAATGACGACTCTCCAACTTCTGGAGCACAACAGGTCATCTAGAAACTTGCCTAGTGAAATGAAATGCTGGATGCTTGCCACTCCTAGATGCCGTAATGCAGCATAAATTGAAAGAAATCAGAAATAAAATTACATCTGAAGCTGAGTAATGGCTAGAATACTGAGCTGGTATTAACAAGATTTTTTTTTTTTTTTTACGTTTACCCCCAAACAAATGCTTCTAAGTTTTCAAATTGCTACTTAAAAAAAATGAACACTGACTTCAGTTAGTGTAAAAATCTTAGACTGCTTTGGTTCCAGAAATAGTTCATTCTATAGAGTGAGTGGACTGAAAATTTGCTCCTTGGAGGGATTGTGGTGGTCAAATGACCAAACCTTTTCTGTAGCATTTCTAGCAGTTCCATGCTGGGATGCAGTCAGTTCTTCTTGCTGCAAAACTTGCAGACAACACAGCTTATCTATATCAGCTGCCACATACATTAGAATCTAGCAGTGTTGTTGGGGTGGGAGGGGAAGTGGTGACAGCCTACCATTTCTTGTACAGTTTAGTTTCAGAAGGAAAGTTTGTTACTTCAAAAGCTCATTTTTTTGGTAATCATTGCAGCTTGGGACAACTTCAAGCAAGGATTGATTACAGCAAATATAGAGTCGATATCCTCAGCAGTTTACAACAGGAAGTTGTGTATGTTTCCTTAGCTACAACTGCCATGTACAGATCTGACTGACATATGGACAGACCTGGATAAGTTTAAAAAAAATGTACATTTTATTCATTTAGTCATCGGTCAGGATTTCTCAAAGTCATGTACCTATTGTAAGGCTCCTTACACAACACTTATTTTTCCTGTAGTGGAGAGTAGCCACAAAGAGAAGTCTGACTTCAGGTAAAATACTTGAAAGGGTTTGACTTGTATGTATATATTATATAAAAATAGTACTTTTCTATTCAGTATTTATTTGTTGGATTTCATACTGTTTTCTATAACTCTAATAAAAGATTTGAGACAAGTTCCTGCAAGTGCTTTACACTACTGTACTTTTAGTACTACGGGGAGAACTATAAGGCAATAAACCCCTCAAGGGAATTAAGATACAGCCTATCAAGCTAAGATGCATGTCAGGATAAGTCTGCCACACAGCTAGTTCTATATTCACTCTATGGAAAAGTTCAGGCTTGCACAGCTGAAAGGGCCTGTCCTGTATTTAGTTTGGGAAGGTGGACCTCATATGCTTAAACTCTTTACTAATGAGCTCTGAATAGCAGAGCCGTGCTGTTTAGGTCCCATTATTCCATAGCAAAGTAAAACTTAGAGCATGGATAGGCAGACTACTTCTAATTCTGCTTTTAATTTACAGATATAGTCACAAGCAGGAGAAAGACGTTCTGCTACTTAGATAAATTCCTACTTCTCCTTGCCTTCTTTCCCCTCCCAAATGAATGGGGAAATAGCTAGTGATTTGTAAGAGATGGGGGCAGCTCCTTCACACTGCAGCCTGAGCTAGGAGTTAAACAAATACTAACATTACAGTCTGGACAGTTTCTAAGGGACAGTACATGAAAACCTACCTGAGCTGTCTTAATGCCACTTCAAGGAGCTACTGAAAATTCTCTTTCCATGCAGATCATCTCCATTTGTAGCTTTCTTTAAAAATATAAATGAAGGTAAATACTTTAACTTAAGGTAAGTGAAAGTGATAGCTGCACCTGTTAAATACAACTAGACAGGTTACTGTATTCTATAGTACTTTCTTACCAAACACAGCTGCATGCTAAGGCACAACTGAAACTTTCAAAAAGCGTTTGTGCTTCAGAGTCACTACATTTGTATATTACACAGACCACTGACCCAAGATCGTTAACCATTTTAATTATTTAAAGCAAAAGATTTGAGGAGGGGGATGTGTGTGTAGGACACCAGACAGAACAGGACACTCACCTCACTTGTGTTCCTCTACTGGAGAGCTGACCTACATGTTCTTAGAGTAATATTTTAAAACAGTTTCTAGTGAGAAAAATAAACATTGTGTTAGCCCAGATTTGCAGGTGGTTCAAACCAGGAACTGGTGCCTCTGGCTATGAGAAGACAGGAAGCGGTAAGACTCATACGTACATTCTTTAAAAAAGGAATTTTATTGTTACAACTAAAACGAGAACTGAAAACTTGTATGGGAATTTGAAAAACTGTACAATTTTACTATAACCTGTGAGGTCTTTGCAGTGGCTTACACAAAAGACAAGATACCTGAAAATGTATTATACCAAAACATTTAGCTTTTTTGTTTTTTATTTTTTTTAAAAAAGTTTATTCTATGGCAATCTGTAAAAAAGAAAGACCTGATGAGTAAATATTTGCTTAAGGCATATAGCAGAGCAGCTCACTAACTTTCTAACAAGTTTAACATGGATATTTGTCCATTTTCCAAGAATAGGTTAACCAATACACCCACTTTGAAACGCTACTGTATATACACACCCAAACTACTACATACATATACAGGACATCAAAACAAAAGTGTTTACAGTTCAGTATTATAAGCCTTATGCACACCTCACTTGGCTTGTTGGATATTCCACTGTCTCTCCCAGAAGAGCATAAATTCTCCTGGATTTGGACCAGATGAAAGTAGTAGCAAAGTACAGTGGCAGAAAGGGAGATATTCAAAACTTTTCCTCTGTAAAAGCTTTTTTCTTGGAACAACATGTAAGCACAAAAAAAATGAATTATTCTGCATTCAAAGGAAGGATGTTTTGCTTTCCTGTCAAGTTTAAAATTTAAAACAGTCCCCCTCACAAACAGTATAGCAAGTATTTTTTTTTTAATTATTATTATTTTTTTTGTAAACGGGCCACCATTTCAGGAGCCTAGATTTCTGAAGATCAAAGCATGCTGTTAAGACCTTGCAGAAGAGGCTTCCTTCTCTCTCTCTTTCTCTCTCTCTCTCTCTCTCTCTCTTTCTCTCCCCCCCCCCCCCCCCCCCCCTTCGTCGGGCGTCACAGCAAGTCATACCCTGAAATCATTGAGCTATTACTCGCCTAAAGTGACAAGAGGCGAGGTGTGAATAGGGCTTACTAAACGCTTTGGAATGTCTGTACTATACTTACTCAGCTGAAATGAACCATGCTAAACAACTGGGTTACACTGAGTACGCAGAAATTCAATAGGAAGTCATGCCAAGTATTAGGCGAGTACATGTTATCTGATAAACACCAAATCAGTCTATCGCTGAACGAAGATACTTTCAGCAACACCCTTTGAACCACAGCCACTTAATGATCAGTTCATGCAAATATAATTTGGGCACATCAGTAAGCAGAAATATAAGTTCTTTCACCTTTCAAGCACATGGTATTTAATCAGGACACTAGAAGACTTTTTACATGCATTTTAATACAAATGGGGTACAAATGTTGCCTTAGAACAATATTCTACCAGATGATGGAGAGAATAGTGGGGACAAAGCAATCACATACTGTATCTTAAATACACAGATGAGCCATTATATATTACCATTTTTCTATACTCATTTTTCATGTTTCCAATAATATTACTAAATATTGACTGACTATAACATTCCTCCTTTCAAGTACTGGTCTGACCAACAGTCTCACAGGCAAAGTATTAATTCCCAGTACTACCTGAGGATTTATTATTGTACTTTTGAGAAGCCCTTGATGCAAGCTTAACAAAACACAAAAGAGAAGTAACTCCCCCTCCCCCCCCCAGTCACCATCCTATTCACTGAAGGAAAAGAACTACACCTACAGACAGCTTTGCAAAAATAAATACGGAGTGGAAACACTTACACAGGATACTCCATAATGATGTTTGTACTGAGAAGGGTGGTTAAGTGCTATAAATCTAGATGGTATTTAAAAAAAATAAAAAGAACTGATTAGTAACACTGTTGCAAATGAGTTGTCATGGCTTAGTTGCAATTACTACAACTTTCAGTAGCGAGTTTGCTCCTATCTATCTCCATGACGTGAGCAAAGAAATTTTCGCTGTTACTGTTTCAACTATAATAATTTGGTACTAATGAAAGGAAGAGCATTGACTAAGAAGGTTTAGTGCAATGCAGACTTCCAGTCACAGTTCTACCAATGCACCCAAATCCTTATTTACAAGCACTTTACATTATTCAAGTCCTGGGCCTGCTTAACAGGCCCACCAAGTGAAACAATTTAGATGCAGTGTGGTATAGAGCATGAATAAGGACAAATCCACTCATTTCCCTTAACTAACTTACTTATGCTACAATGGCAACAACCCTGTCTGCAGAGGTGCAAGACTTATCCACTTACACCACTGTGTCCAATAATTACTGAACAGTGTATCTTCAAGCCAAACTAAAGCCAGTATTTTAAATCTTTGCTTTAAAAAAAGCAGAACACAAATGCTTGCATCATGAGCCAACTGTTACGTTCAGAGACCAACATGTCTTCTGTTAAACTCTATGTCTTAAGGAAGCTGCCACAGCATTAATTGCTCTGGATTTGTTGAAATGCTTTCCTGATTATTACTCGCAACACTCTGAGTACATCATTATCACTCTGGCCCTTGCGGAAAGCATGTTATTTTGCAAAAAGCAGATTTAGAGTGAAACTACATTTTACATTCCAAATGATGAGGTTTAAGAACTGGTCCTTCTAAACGCCAACGGAACAGCTGTAAAATGCTGGTGGACATGTTTTGGTTGCATTTCCCTTCCTGTTCCTCTCCCTCCCCTCACCCTCTCCTAACCCGGAATACAAAGGTAAAAACAGCTTTACAAAGGATGGTACAATGTAAATAGGCATACGTGCAAGTAGAGTGCAACAAAAGTCAATGAGGAGATACACTTAAAGAAAAAAAAAAAAAAAAAAGAAGCTTGACATGTTGGGATACCCTGAGCAAATGCAGAAGCCTGTTTCTATAAACACATGTAAAACAATAAGCTCTTTAAGAACAGTTATGCCAAGATTAAATATATCAATACCACAGGCACTGCCCACAACTCAGTCTTTACAGATGAAGGGAAAAAAAAAAAAAAGTAAAGCCCTCCCCTTCCAAAAACTTTACATTCTTCAGATATGTGGGTTTCTCTTTCTTTTTTGGGAACTCATCGGTATAAGTCATGTATTTGGTTACAACACTTGGAGAGTACAAGCAAGTTTCACTTGTGCCTAGTTTTTCCTGGAACACAAAAGAAAAAGAACTGGCTTTTTAAAAAAGGCTAAAAACAACAATGTGTTGTAATTCTATTATTTAGTTTAAAAAACAAAAGAAAAAATAACAAAAGAAAAACAGACTATTTGGCATTTTCTCTGCTTACTCCTGAATATTTTAAGGCCCTGAGATTAGAATATTATGTTCTTGGGACCACAGGGCTAGATTAAACCCTAGTGCATCAATTCTCTCTGTAAGCCCTAACCAAAGTTCCGGCATTTCAACCTAAGATCTATTTCCACTGAGACAAGGCTCACATGCCTCAATTAGCTTTCTTTCGTAGAAGCTTATTACAAACCGATCAAATCGTTGGTGTTTTCTGCAGGCTCAATCTTGCTGGCATGTCCATCAATGAAAACATACCCTGTAACAGAGATAAGCTCCTGCCGTGAGGAAAGTGAACATGCATATATTCACTAGAAATGGCTTCCAAGTTGTCATCACATTCTCATCATCCTCTTCTAAGTTTTCTGACTTCATTGACTCTTCTTTGTGGGGTGAGAGATGCAGATTTTCACCAACAGTTCTCCTCCGAATTTCAGTGTCTTGACTAATGCTTAAGGACAGAGAAATAAATATTCAGTACTGGATTCTCCACTTGGGAGAAGCTCATATGTGGACTCTACAAGCACACAGCCTCACCCACTGAACACCCCAGACAGAGCTGTAAATCACTTGCTATCAGGAGCCGTAGTACATGACAAAAACGAGCGAGACTCTCCTTAAAGACCGGCTACTAAACTACATGTTTTAAAAAGTGCTTATACTCAAAAGCCATCCAAAAAAAAGGATAGTAATAATTTATTCTTTATATCAGTGGATTCTCAGATACCTTAAGTATTCAATCCCAGTTCACGCTCTTGTTGGGCAACCGTGCTTGGGACTATTCTGTACCCGTTAAAGAGTGAGCTGAGAGCTTTAAACAGCACCTGCTTCCATTGTTCATCACGAATCTACTTCCTGCGCAGCCACTGAGACAGGAAGCTAACTAGCACAACCAAACCGAAATCTAGATTAGGAGAATTAAAATTAAAATCAAAAGGTTTAAAATCAAAAGGTTTAAAAAGGAGGTTTAAAATCAAGCACCCCCCGCAAAAAGTCAGAAAATACTAGAATCACGGTTGCTTGTGCAGCTTTACCTTAGAAGGAACAGCTAAATGCATTGTGATAGCTGTAATGATGGAACCGCATAAGATTTCTTCCAACTTTAATACTCTTTTACACAGGTTTGTTTCTAGATACTGCATCTCCATCACGTTGGCAGCATATTGACACCCAAAGAAGCTTCTTAACTGAGGAGAAGCTTTTATATATATTCCTCCAATTGAATTAAGAAAGCAGAGCATCATCATGCTTTGTGGAGCAACAGGGTAGTAACTAGCAGAGAGATGCTTTCCTGGGGAATTTCCTAGACATCTGAAGTACAGAAAAACTCAAGAATCTTGGTTCCATCCCAGCTACAAGAATATCTGAGCAGGAAAAATAAACGTGCTTAAAACTTCTGCCTACTCCTCCCTCACCTCTACCAGCACAATCTCTATTTCCCACCTCTCCATCTCCTCCAGTCTTTCACTGTCCCACATACTTTCATGTCAGACTGCTCATCTAGTCACTGTTCCTTCCCCCTCCTGCCTGGCAAGTTTCACTCTCTCCCTTCTAGACTCACCATCCCAGACATGAAGACTAAAGCAATGACCACACAGGAGGCCTTATCTTGCAGCTACAGCCCTGGTATGGAATGAGGGAGCTCAGGATTCAAATCCCGCCCTTTTCTATTATGCCTAAAAATTGCATAAAGTAGGATTTAACTGTAGCAAGGTAAAAGCCAGACGTCTAGTCCAAGCCAGCCTCTACAATTAACGAAAAAGACAGGCAGTTCCAGAGGATGACTCAACTCCATTCTAGGGGAAGTATCTAAAATAAATGAGATTAATTTAAGTCTACCCCCATCCATAAAACAGAGGAAGAAAATTACAGAATCACAGAATGGTTGAGGTTCGAAGGGACCTCTGGAGATCATCTAGTCCAACCCCCCTGCTCAAGCAGGGTCCTCTAGACCATATTTCCCAAGATTGTGTCCAGGCAGGTTTGGAATATCTCCAGCAAAGGAGACTCCACTACCTCTCTGGGCAACCTGTGCCACTGCTCAGTCACCCTCACAGTCAAGAAATTTTTCCTCATGTTCAGATGGAACTTCCTGTGGTTCATTTTATGCCTGTTGCCTCTCGTCCTATTGCTGGGCACCACGGAGAAGAGTCTGGCTCCATTCTCTTGGCACCCTCCCACTTATAGACATTGAGCAGATCCCCCTGGAGCCCCCCTGGAGCCTTCTCTTCTCCAGGCTGAACAGGCTCAGCTCTCTCAGCCTTTCCTCATAGGAGAGATGCTCCAGTCCCCTCATCATCTTGGTAGCCCTCCGCTGGACTCTCTCCAGCAGTGCCATGTCTCTCTTGTACTGGGGAGCCCAGAACTGGACACAGTACTCCAGATGGGGCCCTATCAGGGCAGAGTAGAGGGGCAGGATCACCTCCCTCGACCTGCTGGCCACACTCTGCCTAATGCAGCCCAGGATCCCATTGGCCTTCTTGGCCACAAGGGCACATTGTTGGCTCATGCTTAACTTGTTGCCCACCAGGACTCCCAGGTCCTTCTCCGCAGAGTTGCTTCCCAGCAGGTCAGCCCCCAGCCTGTACTGGTGCGGGGGTTATTCCTGCCTAGGTGCAGGACCCTGCACTTGCCTTTCTTGAACTTGATGAGGTTCCTCTCCGCCCAACTCTCCAGCCTGTCCAGCTCCCTCGGAATGGCGGCACAGCCTTCTGGTGCGTCAGCCACTCCTCCCAGTTTAGTATCATCAGCAAACTTGCTGAGAGTGCACTTTGTCCCTTCCTCCAGGTCACTGATGAATACATTGAACAAGACTGCACCCAGGACTGACCCCTGGGGGACACTGCTAGCTACAGGCTAGACTCTGTGCCGCTGACCACAACCCTCTGAGCTCTGCCATCCAGCCAGTTCTCAATCCACCTCACTGTCCACTCATCTAGCCCACACTTCCTGAGCTTACCTATGAGGATGTGATGGGAGACAGTGTCAAAAGCCTTGCTAAAAATTCTTTATTTTATGCTGAGTCTCTGAGCAATTTAGAGCAGGACATGTCTCATGTTGATTTAGACCAAACTGTGTAAAGTATTTCCAGGAAATCCTTATTCACTGAAAATTTCAGAGTTATAAAGCTAGGGAGATGTGGCACACCAACTTTACGTTCATACTCTTGATGAGGTATAGAAAGTGTTAACTGGCACCTTGTATCCTAGGTAAATATTGTGATATCAGAACTATATCGTCACTGAGGGAAGAAAGAGGGAGATGGGAGGGAGATAACAGTTCATGGTCACAGCCTCTCTGCACTGCTATGTGAAATTAAGAGGAGGTTATTGTGCAGAAAGGCTACTGAAAACACATCTCGGTAATCTCCAGTTCCCAGAGTTGCACAACTCCCCCATGGATCTGCCTAAATAAAATACATGAATTTTGTCAGCTGCTGAAAAAGCTCTAGAGTTCTGTGGAAAATACTAAAACTTGATACTTCTATTCCAGTATTCCTGTTGGAAACTGAAGATACCTTGCTAGGAGACCATCTGGTGGGGGAACATTAAGCTTTCTCTTGATTATCCCTGGTGTGTCTAGGGTTTTTGTTTTGTTTTGTTTTCTTCGTTTTTCTTTTTGCTCCATGTAGCATTCAATTCACTGTTCTGAATAAGGCTAGTTAATCTGCCAGCAAAACCAGAACATGCTGATTTCAACAACTTCCACGCCATTCCACTTGTTTAGCAGTAGCGACATCTAGCGGCTACGTACCAGGAGCCCTGGCTTCTCCACTGCCATAGTGCTTTCACACAGCATTTCTGCATTTATTAGTCCTTGCAGTTTAGGTTACAATGATAGGTAGAAAAGTTTTCTCCTCAAAGGCCCCCTCTACTCCTTTGATTAAAAGTAGCTGTGAGTGTAATTAATTTCACATTTTTAAGTGTGACCAACTAGTTAGGCTGGCTTTCAGCTGCATGACTAATACCACCCCTAACTTGTGAAAGAATTCCTCTGTAACTTAACATACACTGCACGTAAATCAAGACTAAACCATGCCATTATGCTGTCATTTTTTCTTTTACTCTAGCAGGATCCCATAAGCAGCCTTAGTTTGTGTGAGAAGTTAAAAGGACATGCGCCTAAGACCTTTACTGAAAAGGATCCACAGATCTGGATTTTAGGACTGTACAAAATGCCATTTATGAACAAGCTGCCTATAACATCTCAAAGCAGTAAGCCAACTGGCCATTCTTCTCGGGACAGTTAATGTGAGAAACTAAGTAGATTACCTGTCTGTGATCAGTGGCCCAGATGAACAAGCTCGGCCATCTGGAACCATCTCTTCCACAGCGCTGACTGAACATCTGATCTCTTCCTCTACCACTTGATGCTTGGGAAAGAATTCTGTGTGTTCATGCATCCTTCCATTGTGCATTTCTGAGGTTCGCTTTGGTGGTCTGGGAGGTGGTGGGGTATGTTCAGGTGGTGGGTCCAGGTCTTCATTGGAGAGCTCTTTCCACTGTTCCTTCATGGAAGGAAATACCCTATTAAGTTTTCCTCTATTTAATAATTTATGTAAGCTACTATAACTTTTAACTTCAACATGGCAGAGACTTTATACTTGAGTTTTGAATTTATTTTTAGAGTGACTGTTCATATGCATTGAGAAAGGAAAAAAAAAGACACACAAAAAGAAATCCAAACCCAAGCTACGTGCAGTATACAGAAGAACTCTGCGAAACACATAGAGAACATTAGCTATAAATGTGAGAAATTTTAATCTACTTCTATAGGAAACTTTAAATAGCATAAAATGGAGTCTGTGTTACTAGAGTTCTGTTTGCCATAAATCAAACATACAGAATTTAATCACAATACTTAATTTTCCAATATGCCATAAGCTTATGTTATCCAAAATGGAAGACAAAACTGAGGCGGCCAGTGTACACCTTGATTACAGTGTTAAAAAGCATCTCTTACATAGGGGCCACCTAATGTACTACAGGGCTACAAGTACTTTTATGAAGAAAACACATACTAAAGTATGTCTTGTATTTAAGAACCCCAAAATATAAAAATTTATTCATGCCTAAAAAAGCATGAAATTTGAAGTTTCATTCTACCCTGTCCATGCCAAAAAATATTTGCTAGAGTCAAAACAGAGTTACTTACTACACTAGGTTGTGCAGTCAATAGTACTCACTTGCACTGAAGCATCTCCCATAATGAATTTTGCCCCTTCAATAACAGCTAAATAAGAGAAACGAAGCTGATCTGCTGTCTGTATAAGGCCCATTCTGTACTTCCTCATTTCTAAAAGAACCTGCTTAACGTCCACTGAAGAAGGATCTTTCCTTTTGTCCATCTGAAGAGAAAAATTTGAAACATGCTTTACGCTCTGATGAGATTCAATACAATTACTCATTCTGTAGTACAGAACTAATAAATTAATAAAAAAACTGGTATCAGCTATTCATTGGGTCTCTAAGAAGACAGAGAAGGACCAGTTCACTGGACCTCCAATATTTTGTCAGTATTTCCTTTTGTCTTTCTTTTTTGAAATAAAGACACACATTTTAACCTAGGTGTGACTTCTGTACATTAGTTGCTTTTTCTTAACTACGAGGGCAAGGTCTCTCTTTGCAAAACACTCTATTACTGGAGATTTTTCTTCCACACACGCAAAATAACCTGGTGAGAAAGACAGCTGCCTTAACTTAAATGGAAATACACTACCCAAACTAGAACGTGAATAAAATAATGGGAAATAACTTGCAATAATACTTCACAGAAAATGCCACAGCTCTTTGTAGGCCTACAACAAACCATTTCTCAAATAACTCTACAGAAATAGCATTTCATCATCATGTAGAATAAGTAGTTCTTACCAGCAGAAGACATGTATCAACCAAACAAAAAGTTCCTGATCTCCCGATTCCTGCACTGCAGTGCACAACAACAGGTCCATACTCAGGACTAAGTGACCCAGACTCTCTCACTTTGAATAGGAAATTGAGGAACGAGGCAGGCGACTCTGGGACTCCAAAGTCAGGCCACGTAGTATAATGAAAGTGCAGAATCTCTCTACTTTCCTGTGTCTGAAAGAGACAATATTTATAAAGTCTTCTAGCTGGAAATAACAGTCAAGGACTATTCAAAGCACAGTTCCCTACAACAATGTTCTGATGAGCAAATACCATTCCTTGCATGTTCATTTTCCTAGCAAACAATCTCTTTTTTAATATATATAATGGTAGGACATTTTTAGCTTTAGGTCAATTTCATATTTATTCCTTTGGAAAAATTGTAGCTATTTCTTTTAGAAATAACTCTGTGATTTACAGGGAATGGAGAAGGAGTACATGTGCACAGCCTTTTATGACATTCATGCCTAATTATTTCCTCTTGCAAACTACATTACAAGAACTTAAGCTGTTAGAAGAACAGCTACTTTAGAACAGTTGACTTTTAAATTCAAATGACCAAGTTACACTAGTCTGAGGGAGCTTTTATAGCTACATGGCTAAGAAACTGTCTAACTTAACATGATTTAACTTTTTCAGTATCGTTCAAACACTCATATCGCCACAGGATAGCTGGCACTATCCTGTGCCTACCAATTTCCAATGGCAGAATATCATTTGAAGGTTTCCCAAAATTAAGTAACTCAAGCTATAGAAGCCCTCTATAGTTTCTGCAAGCAAAAACCTTATACTATCACAGCTGTTCCTTTATAGCTTTGTTCCCTATTTGAGAACCTTCTTCCAAGGTTACGAAGCTACTGATGCGTACCTCCTCCTAGAATCCCAAGCTACAACTTTCAAAAACATGTTTGTGGCAAACATCATATTTAAGTCACACCACAAACCACAACCAACAAATTCTTACTCATTCAGGTACAATTTGGATGGTCAAATTCATACCTCCTAACTGTTCCATGTTTCCTGGCAAGTTGAAGCATGTAAGAAGCTAAGAGATGAACTGAGGAATACCTGTATCTTAGTAGTGTAGCACTGGGCAGTACCAGGACACAATAATCATGCAGAATTCAGATTAGCACGTCACAGTATACGCACCTAGCTCAACACCACAGGGAACCTCAGATATTATCTTCAGCTGCCTGCATTCAGTGTCCTTCCTTAGCCAGTCTCCCGCAAGGAGCTTTACATCAGCTTTCACTGCTCTGAATGACTCTATTTTTGTTTTTCTCCTCTATTAGAGCAATGCTTTAACACAGGGTACTGTTAAAGTGGAGGGGAGGGGTGAGAACCAGCATGCATAGTTTTATCTTGATATTGCCCAAGAGAAAAAAAGTTACTCCTTTTAAAGTTGGTGGCCTGATCCTCATGCTGAGCACCATACAGCTCACTGCAGGACCAGGGTTGAAATGATTCCTGCTTTCTGAGAACCATCAGTGCAAAACTTGAAGATTTAAGCCACAGCCTAAAAAAGCAAACCTTAGAACAAGACACAGGCAAATAGGTAGCGTAAGCGACTGGAAGAGCAACTATTTCAGACTTAACAAGCATAGAAGCGCTAAAACATTTGCAAAGTGATGTTATAAAGGGCTCTCTGAAATCCCATGTTGTGACGAGCTAACCTCACCGAGTCTACAGAGGAAGACGTGAATGCAAAGACTCTAGCTTCCCCAAACATATTTCAAAAATATTTAGAGTTTCATTTCCACAATATGAAACTCTACATTCCACTCTACATTCCACATTCTACATTCCACTGTAGAATAATCTCACGTAGGATTACAAATTCTACAACAAAATTGGAATTGCTGGAATTGGAGGTTGCCCCTTTAAAGTCTTTGAAGTCTTTGTTGATCAGAAGGCAAGTCTCACCTTAAAGAAATTAAAGGATCTGATTGGTAGTAGTTTCTGTACTTACTGTAAGATTTTCCAATTCTAGCTGTCGTACTGTGTAATACGATTTTATATCTTCAGATATCAAGGTTAGTTTCAAGTTTGTATCTTCAAAAAACATTTCTTTCTCTTCCTTCTGTGGCCAGTACTGTGCACACTTTATCTAAAAATAAATATGAGCCATTCATACGTATCATATATGTTTGTGTAAAAGGCAAGAAATAAGTGTCCTTAAATACAACGTTTTCTTATGCGACAATTTCATGATCTGCGTTTATTATAAGGAGGAACAATTTTAGTGAGAGGGATTTTAGTGAGTCTTCCTATACACTGCAGAACCATGTCCTCAGTGAATCTTTTGTATATGTCAAATTATTCTGACCCTGACTGAACTCATGAAAATACCTATGGATTGAGGACAGCTTTGTGTAGGCAGAGGTCTTTTTATTCCACATGTGAGCTGAGAGAGTGTGGAGCAGAGCTGCACTGCTGTAGAATCTAATCGAAATCACCAAAATCGTTATTTATTTTGGCCTGCATCAGAACAATAATAATACCAAAAAACTATGTAACTTCTACATATAAAAGCTGTCAGAACACTCTGCCAAAATCTGAATTCTAGTCTATTCTGCATTTTATATATCTTATTTTCATGTCAAATAGTTAAACATTTCAAAAGAAGGGATAAATGTTAACAAGAAAAAGAGTAGAATGTACCAAACAGTACGAAAAGGTATTATGAAATTCATTAATAATCTAAAACTAGAGAATTAGAATGCTACTAATTTGCAAGTGTAACATCAGATGAGATTTTGGGTTGCTCCATTCACTTATCCCAAAGTAAAAAAAGCAGTGAGATCACTTTGCACATGGCACAGTTCAAAAGTAAAGTGCCAAACAAAAAAATACCTTGTAATCAGCAAACATTCCTGTTACCTCTTCTGACTGAATTTCAATGTTCTCAGTAAAGTTTTTCAGAGAGCTCAGTTTTGCAATAAGACTGTTATATGCTGGAATCTTAAATGAGTCAACCAAAGAGAAAATTAACACATTTTGCTCAAGTACAGACAAATAACAAAACTAAAGAAACTCTTCAGCAACACAAATAGGAAAGTCTGCAACAAACTTTTCTGACTGTTCACCCTAAGGGTATCATGGCTGTGACAGCTGGCCCGCTACTTCGGTGTTTAAACACTGCTCCTCTGGAATAGAGTTATGATCAGCACTTGTCCAAACCTAAACTTGCAACAGGAATGGATTGCTGGACATGGGTAATGTTTCTTATATTAAATTGCAAATAATATGTGCTGAAGTGGAAAAAACATGGAAGCAAGGAAACTGACTATTATGTAGTTTTGTTACCTATGAGCGAGTGCTGTTCTGTACGTAATGGGAGCAGGGATGAAAAAGAACAATATTCTCACCTCCAGAACCATTTCTTACAGCATTTTAATAAATAAGAAAACTCTTCAGTATTTCATTCATTGGTAGGCAAAGTAATGTCATTCAGTTTTGTCAAGTTTAGATACATCAGAGCTCAGACTAATCCTGGTTCCGACTCGATTTGTATCCTCTAGTTCACTAGGGTATAAACTATAGTTACAGTCCTCTGCATTTTTTGTATTAATGTTTAAGAGATAGTGATTGGGTGTATGTCTAATTTATCCACCAAATGCGTCTGCAAATAATATTTTGCTGCGCTCCGCTGCGACTCCCCCAAACGCTGCTGTTTGTTGAGAAGCGTTTGCTGCCTGCCCTAAGGGATCACAATAATTCGTTTTGTTCAAAACTACTGGCAGTGGAGAGAATGAGTGGGAATGGGTGGAAAGGAAGAAACTATTGAAAAACATGGTTACTGCCTCTCTTTTGAAGATTAACTTTCACTTACACTACAAAAAGCGAAACACTTAAAAATCAAGATTGCAGTTCATCAAAGCACAACTCATTGCACAGGAATTTTCCTAATTATTGGGAATACTTTCCTGATTATGCAGAAGCATATACCACCCAGTTATCACTGGTGGATACCCAACATATCCACTACCTGTCCTCTGAAGCGTCTTTATACTGCACTGTAACATTCAACATAAAATTGTCCATGTATATCAATCACCTCTGTCTTGAATTTGCACAGCTGCCGAGTCTACTTTAGGAGCGCAGGACAGCAGCTGTGGTGTTAGCACACAGGCAAATTTCTGAACCCATGGATGAAAAAATGAACTCTGCACCTGATGGTTCCTGTCCTCTCCACCATGAGCAGGGCTCAAGACAGCAGCTGCTCTTTGTGCCAGAGGAACCAAATTGTTTTATCCATCTGAAGGCTAATTACCTAAAATTACCCTGATGGTTTTTCCATTGTTCCCCTTTATCTTTCGTCTGTCTTGTCTACCATAAGATTCTTAAAATGTCTGGGCAGAACTAAACTCACTGAGAGCTTGTCCTAGTGAGTAAAGCAATAGCCTAACACCTGTGCTTTACTTAAGACAAATGCTTAAGATGAATGCTTAAGCTACATACTGGGAGAAGTACTTTCCATTGTATCCCAGTTTACCACATCTTTTCTAAAACAGTGACACCAACAGGAGAAGCAATACACAGGAAAAGTATGTACAATAATTAGCTCTCTTACTGCAGGAAGGAAATTTGAAGTTAAAGTCCATCTAAATTACTTTAAAACCATCCATAATGCTTGCGAACAAACACTTGGTGTAAATGACCTCTGAGAGGTACAATCTGTATACACTGAAAAGTGAGAGCTACATTCAAATATCTAGGTTAGCAATAAAAAACAAATATTAATCCGTGTGGAGAGTCATAGAAGACATCAGGACCTGCAATCATAAACTTACTAGTTTTCTGACTTGATTAAGATTGGTTCCCCAGGTCCTCAATCCTAGGAATAATTTATTAGATAAAATTACATACAATCACCTTATTTTCGATTACTGTTCTTTGATTATTGCTTCTTTAACCATGCACATGCAACAAACACACAACTAAAACCAGATAAGTACTTACTGATCCCTTTTCCATCACTCTGTTCAACATGACAACACCACGGCTTTTCTGTTCCCAAACCATCTCCCAAAAGTGACCACAAGTATTTGGCAAAGGACCCTGCACAGACAGAATCGCCAGAAAAAAGCATTATTTTCTGTTAATGTCAGAGCAATGTTCCTTGGTAAAAGTTACTGCACTAGGCAATAGATTTGGGTAAGTAACAAGCAAACTTCTTATTTTAAACTGTAAAAACGTGGTGCTATAGCTCTTAGTTCCATTTTCCCACTGTGAATTCACCCATGAAAGTGTGGTAAATCTGTTTCCCATATATAACAGGAAGAGAGAAGTAGACTCATTTGCGAGAAGAGAACTGGGAGTGAAAAGTGCTGAGAGGACTTTCTTAAGAAGAAGGGCAAATGAGTAATGGAGAAATGAGTCCTCACTAACCACGTAAGAGCAGCATTAAAGCATATGTTTAACGGTTCTGCAATATATCATTGCTTTTCATAACACTTGAAAATTACTAAATTGCATGGAAAATCATCCAAAGACCGAAAATGCCAGATCACTAACGAGCTAGGCAGGTTTCAAGACTCTTCATGGACATTGCACTGTTTGCTTTGGGATCGGACAAAATGATAATTCCTTTGAAGGAACCATCTACTCACAAAGTAGATTCCCTTATAAACTAGTACTTGTGTTATGTTCCTTTGCTCTTCTCCGCTCCAGAATCACTGCCCAGAATTTTTGGCAACAAAAACTAACAACATTGTGCCTCCCTCATTCACTCTCCAACACCTTGTTCAAAGAGAACGGTGGGCCAGAGTCCTCAAAAACGATGCCTGGATTTAAATAAAGGCATTCAAGTCCATTAAATACTGTATCGAACAGATAACTGATACAAGTTAGCTGCACACGCCTACTCCACATAGATGTTTCTCTCTTCAACACTATGATCAGCCTCGCTTGTCCTGAATAAAGAAAATAAGAATTGTGTGCACAGAATTGTTTTCTTATTGAACTTTGCACTGTCCATTGCTTCATTAGAGATTTATATTCATTCTCTGGAAACAGGAAGGAAGAGCTGCTGACTTTTGCTTGAAAATATTAATCCCAGTCTACCTTTATCTAAAAGCTTGGAGGAAGAAAAAAAAATTTGCCAAGATTAGAGACCAGGACTGTCTCCAGGGAACTGAACGTTTAGGATAAACAAGAATTCTGGCACAGTTGTTAGCTCTCAGAATAACAAGTCAGGGTATCTAAACATTTTTAAATCGGTTACGTAAATAGGTGTGGAAGTCACAGATCCAGTGAAAACAGCAACTTCTTCCCCCTAAACCTTCATCAGAAAAGTCTGCATTCATGTTAAAGGTAGAAGCATCAGCACTGCCCAACTTGCACCTTTTGGAGGTTGGGCTGTGAAGAGTTAAAACAAATTACTTGTAAATACTACACTAACATCACTTTCAGAAGGCTGCTTTACTACAAATAGGTGGTGAAGCATATTGCTTATTTGGAACAGTAGGTCAGAGTCCTTAGAAATTAATTACAAGTGTAAGAAATTCTCTAGTATGTTTTATACAAATTCTGCTCTATTCAACATAATCTTCTTAACAGCCATTATATTTAAAGTATGTTATTCCAAATAGATTTTGAAATTCTTGAAGTTCATATATACAGTTCTTCTGTAAATGTGAAGCCTTCCTATCAAGTGAAGTTCACTATTCAGAGAATATACAGGGGGACTTAAGGCTATAATGATCCAAAGTCCTTGTGCAGGCTTTCCATGTAGAAGAAACGTGATTCATTTCAACCACATCTAAATGTTGCCTATCATAAGCCAACGCATCATAAGCAGATTTCTTCAAGTATGTTAGCTTCTATTCTAAAACCAAACCTAGATGGGCCTAAAGTTGGTTATACAAAGGCGCTGAGATCCTCTAGGAAAGTCAGCCAGTGCTGACAGGGAACAGGAAAAAAAATATGTATTGCTTCTGTAAATTGCTCTATGCATATAGTATGTTTATATATCCACATGCATGTTTATATAAATTTAATCAGTTTTAAAATAAAGAAAATAAACATGGTAGGCTAAAGAAGTCCTAAGAAAAATATCTCCAATCACTACATGATTTTTATTATCCACTGCCAGAAATTACCTGGGTAAGGATGTAGCTCCTTTGGGCCTCTTCCATTTTTATCAAACTAGCATTGATATAGTCATTGTCACCTTGGATTAGCTTAATTCGACTGTGATCAACTGCAGCATAATTAGAAAACACTGGTTAATGTATATGCAGCACAGCACAATCCACGCACAATCTCATCAGATATTAGAATCAAAAAGACTGAGTCCTCCCAAAGAGTGAAAAGATCTTAATCAAGTATAAAGCAGAAGTGTTGTCTGGTACTTGTAACTCTGTAAATAACAATATAAATACTGTGAGAATGGCACTACGCACCAAAACAGTGAACATAATTTGGACTTTGTTTTAAGAAAATATAATGCAAGAAAGGAAACATTTGCATCTGAAGTAATCATAACTGCATTTGTAAATCAGATCATACTGACCTACTTGTACAGTTATCAAGATACTGTTTTTAAATACGTCTAATTATACAACAGCATATCTTTTGTAGATTAAACATTCAAGATTGATAAAACTTTACCTTAATATATATTGGACAAACAAAACAGAGATTTCTTATTCTTCTTGTAGACATTTAGATATTTTTCTCAACCTAACCACGCAGACATGTGTCGAAAAAATAACAATGACAACAAAAAAAACCCCAATTACTGCAAACATAATTTCACTGCTCTTTTGTTAGTTTCAGCTTGCTCTGTTCGGGATAAAAAACACACACAAGAGTTTCCACATTTTTCAAGAAAAGTCAAACAGACTGGCAGCAGTATCATCTAAAGAAAAAAAAAAAGCCCATTTGCAACTCACAACCCCAAATACTAGAACCACTTTGTAAAGCAAATTACATGCAACATTATCATTCCCTACTGAATTGTCTCAAAGTCTCAAGTGACCTTTAACCACTAATTATTCTCTGGTTCTCTGGTATATGACAATACTCCATCTTCAAACAGAATTTAGATATATAACAGAGCTGACACAGCAACTGTACTCGAAACAGGCAGCACTGCTTCACCCTCAAAGAAGAGGGAAAGAAGTCTCAGAATGGGCATTGCCATTCAGAACAGAGAAGGCAGTTTAGTGAACCAGCTGTGAACTTTCCCTAGTGTCTCACATACCAAACGTTATTTGCTGATCATTTGACTCCAGTCCTGTGGTTCTCTGCACCCCATGTGTTTTCATTGTTGCAATCTGTCTTGCACCCCAAAAGTAAGCATGCCACACATAGGGCAGTCCTGACTGTTATCACCTTCACTTGGTATACGGCATCATGGAAGGAAAGACAGGCTGCGGCACTGAACTGTGCTGTCGCTGCAGGGTGCCTTGCAGTGAGGACATGTGCTCAGAGACACACCTCTCACCAGCAAATTCACATGTCATAATTCAAACAAACAGAGAAGTCTCCAGAATGTTTAATGATAATCATTTCAGAAATAGAGGCCTCAAGTGAATATTACCATCTTAGCAACTTCCTGTTTTCTCTGTCCCAAATAGCTTAGGATTTATTTCCGATCGTGTTTTAGGCAAGGGTCTTCTCCATCTCCAAAAAGGGGCAATTATACATTATATACTAGAAGGACATTCATGAAAAGGATACTTGCGTTCTTACTAATGCTATTTCAGCCACCATTCTTCTCTGTCATAAGGATTGACTAGCAAAGCAAGTTCTTCTCTTCAGATTTCTGTCCAAAAATACAGAATCTACAGTATGCTACTGCAGTGTAATCCTATGGATATGATGGAATTCTGTGACATCTATAGCTTAACTATATTAACAAAAAATTTGTTGTGGATGCATATCTATATATGAAGGATATCTATTACAGATGTCTAACAGAAATCTTGCTCTTACAAAGAGCTTTTAGCTGTAAAAAGGAGTCATTAGAGGTCAATAGTCTGTTATAAACAATGGAAAAGAAAGTATACTTACAGGGGCTGACATCTCTGTACCTATTTCTGTTTTTGTTTCTGGGATGTTTGGCCACTTTACATGGAAAGTCACTGGCTTCATGCCTGATGTCCTTAAAAAAATAAATTAAAAGTTTTAGATGTGAATACTAACATCATCATACCATCAGCTATTTTAAGACAAATATCCAATTTACATGACATTTTCGTATGTTGGAGTTTTGGACAGTAAGGTCTCTGGGCTTCAAATGAAGAACTGAATTTAAATGTATCAGAATACAGCACTAACATTATTTGCAGGCTAAAATATTATTAGCTTGCCTAATAAAATAGTAAAACTTTAAGTAGTAGTACCAGATATAGTAGAATCAGACACTACGACTTTATATATCTGATGAAGCAGAGTCTCTGCCCCAAAGCACTTTCATATAAGCTACTTTACGCAATTGTTTCCACTATCAGTGGAGCTATCAATTATTTTTCTGACTCAGCAACAAATTAGAAACAGTTCACTATGATAAAAAACCTGTCTACCCCCAGCATCAAATGCACGCGTGAACTGGTGATGCGTCAACAGCTGCATGCTATAGCCATACCTAAGATCGTTTAGATCTTCATCTTGACTTATCAGTAAGGTACCACAAACCTGCAAATGGCAAAAAAGTATTTGTATCCAACGCACACACACAACTAAACCACATGCACCACGTCAAGCATGTATTATGGGGTTTCCTCCAGGCTTTTCCAGATCCTTGTTATACCTCAGACATCTGACACAATTTCAGAAGATATAATGAAAAGAATTCTAATGGCCTTGGACTTTAGTCCCAATTTGCAGATTTAGAACATCACACTGTAAATACTGTATAAGCATGCAGTTCTTAAAAATTACAGCACTAGAAACTTCAAGACGAAGCTGTCAGGTTTAACCAAAATTAATGAAAACTGCAGGGAAACTGAAGGAACTATAAAACTGGTATTTAGATAGGATAAATAAGTTTAGGAAGTCCTAAGACAGATAGTTTGTGCAAATACATGCAATGAACATTTGAACCCAGCCCAGAGGCCATTCAAAAATAACCATTAAGAACTAATTTTTCAGCTAAATTCACCCCTTTTCGTAAGATGAAATCTACTTTGTTAAATACAGTAAACTGAATGAACCTAAGCATTACATTAAGCAAGTTATCCATTCAGATACAGATACGTTAGAGCACGGACGTTCATCCACACATCTATAGCCAATGTGAACAGAGAACAGGCTTCTGCACGCATGAATATAGTCCATTTGCAGGGCTTTTTGTGGCATGTAGACCACTTGTACAGAAAGGTTAGGCACTCCTCCATTAAGAGTTTCAAACTAACTCAGGCTCTGATTTAAATTGTAGTACCTTTCCAACATCAGAGGAAGAGGATTTTATACCATCTCAAAATTTTAAAATACAGGCCAGAATGGAATATTTTTCTGTTTCTGTCAGTTTTGCATAAAGAAGCATTTACAATGCTGTGGGTTATCTGCTGCACGTTCACGTTTCTCTACCCTATTATTCAGATTATGTATCAATTTATACTGAATACTACATGTCAAGCTAAGAGTTCTGTTTTGCATTTACCTGCTCAAAATTAGTACAGTATTCTGAAATGGCTCCTCACTGAAATAAGCCCTGACATCAGCTGCTATCTTTTTATAACTTAACACATGTCTGCTAGTATTTCTGCTTATGAAGAATGCAGTCTGGAGAATATGATCTCAACTACCACAGTTTAGTATCTCAAACATGAAGCAACTAAAATGGCTGTTTTCCTAAATTCATCCCTGACACTAAGTTGGCGATTCTGCATTTTGCAGTCGTTTTTTTCCTTCTGTACACACTGTACAGGATTAACAGGAGGCAAAAACAAGGAACTAGGAAAAATGCTTTTCTAGATCTCTAACCACATTTCCCATAGAGCCTACTTTTTTTCTTTTCTTCTTCTTTTTTTTTTTTAAAGTGTAAAGAAACCATTCAGGGTCCATTTGAAAAGAAAAAAAGCAAAATACAAACCAAAATACAAATCTTTAGGCATTTTTTTCTGCAAATTTTAGGTTAAACTAGTTAGGGTAAACTAGTTAAGGTTATTGTTCAGCTATTGTTTGGTGACTAAAGAGTCGGCCATAACCTCACTACCTAAATACTAGATTTTTTTTTTTTTTTTTTAAAAAGATGCTAACATGCCTAAAGGTACAGAAAGAATAAATGAGTTGAAGATGCGTAACTCCTATTGGCATAGAGAAACAGAAAAGAAGGTGATCCATGTACCTTTCAGGAGCACAGACAATTTTAATTTTTCTGAAGCAAGTTTCAACAAAGACAAAAAAAAAAAGGGGGGGGGGGAATCAGTTCTAGGCGGGACCTAGATTTGATACTGCTTTGTATGAAAAACCAACTACCATATGGCATTACATTTAGAAATGTAATGAATACCAATGAAACAGAAAATCTTGAAGCTTATGCATGTCTGCTCTTCAGATTCGTGGAACTGGCCAGATTCGTGCTGGAAAAGGACATCCTCATGTCAGCAATCTGAGATAAAAGTGGATTTTTGCCTACAGTAGTTGCTTGAGCACCTAACAGCAACGAGATATCTAAGACTCCTGCCAGGATATAAAGCTGATTTCAATGGAAAGCCTCAATAGAAGATTATTGGAGAGAAACACTCCAGTGACAAGTTACGTAAAATGGTCTTCTTATTATAAGCTTTCTTGTATGTTCCTCAGAAGCTTCTATTATCAGTTAACGCAAGAGTCAGTGTATCAAATTAGAAAACTACTGACGCGGGTGGTAGAGCAGTTTCAAAATACATCAATAGTACTACTACAAGATCTCCCTGTTGGAGAAAGCAGACTCATCCAAAGCACAGACGTGTTATGCTATGAGTGACCTGAGACCAGTGATGTTACAAGAACTGAAGTTAGTGGATGAATACAGGGATTGATAAAGTTATTTAACACCTTCTTGAATCACACTTGTAGTCACACTGCAAAGATACTGTCATTTAAAAAGGAAGCACGGCATTTCATTTAAAAGGTCATGTAATATAAAACTTCAAAGAGGAAGGGCTAGAACTGAAATCAGTTTTCCAAAGTTAAATGCTTCTGGTTTTGAGCATGAGTCATTCCATGACACTCATCTCCTGGTTTTAAGTCCTGTACACGGTGCAAATACTCCCAATAACTTCAGAGGTGGAAAGAGGAAGTCTGCTGAAGTGCTGTTCTTCAAATGGAAAGTTCTTGTTGCTGTTAAGTTGCAGCAGTGACTGGAATGAGAAGTTTTTCAGTGCTTTTCAGGAGAAGCTGGTCGCTCTCTGTTACATGAACAGATTCAATTTGGCTGGGCAGTATCACATTTCCTGTCACAAAGACGGGACATAGAATGCAAGGGGTAGATGGATATGCTGTTCAGTTAAAGACATCGGTCCTCTGAACACATCTCTGCTCTGCAGAGTCCTAGAGACGTTCAGCAGGAAGAGGTGTTCATGGTGGCTCAGTCCCTTGTTCCAAAGCCTTCTGCACCAGATTTCCTGACCCTTCTCTCAGCCACAAACCTATAACCTTAGTAATTCACTCCTGAGCCCGCAGCCCTTTAATTTCAATTCTTCCAGCCCTCAAAAAAATTCCCCCCAGTTCTCTTCCAGAGGTCGAGCTGCATAGAGAGAGAGAAAGCAATAGGCCTGTTTGAGGTTCAAAAAAACTATTATGTTAGTTTAAAAAAAAAAAAAACCAAAAAAACAAAACACACACTTGCAACACGGTTTTCCTAGAAAGTCCCCTGCTAATTCAGCACTATGTGGGCAATCCGGAACAGGTTGTAGCAATGCAGTGTAAGCAATGCTTCTATCACTATAGTCAGCTGGTTGTAGGCACGGAAATATCCCCCCAGGAGAATGTAAATGAGGCATGTTTATTTTATTAAACATATCAGCACTTGGGAAAGGGTACTAGCTTCTTCTAGGCCCATCTTGTTCTCTACAGCTAGCAAGTATTAAAGCTGTTTCTCACCGTTAACTCGTTTTAATACATCGAACTGTAGAAATTGAAGAACTATGAAAGTTAATCCTGCAGTACCTTATTGTACCCACTTCATCATGGTACGTGACTGAATGCTGTAAAAGTTTAAGGAAACACTCACACCCAAACTATTCTTACAGCATAGGTATGCACCTGAATAAGGGAGAAGGCCACATACCTGTGTCATTTAGCAATTTCAATTGTTATATATATTTTTGCATGTTGTTGAAAGGAAAACATTTCTGTAGTATAAATCACTGCAATTCCGCAGTATTTCAGTTGTTTGGAATCCCATATTGGTTCAGTGTTATTATCTGCAATGAGCGAAGACTGATTTTTAACTCCAATTTTTTTGAGAGTTGAAGGAGAGCAGGGACAATCAGAGATTGATTATTCGTGCTAAGCATTGTGCTAAACTCTAATATTAGGTTAAAGAATTACATGGGCCTTCTCAAATTTCAGTAAGTTCAAAATACAGTTTGTCCTTGAAAGTTATGACCCATAACAGAAGAAGTTCAGAATAGCTGGCAGAACACTTGGCTTCTGGTGTTTTGTAGTCATGCACTCACTGCCAAAACAGGAAACAACTGAATGAAGGGCCAGTATAAGAAAATAACCCAGGTTCTCCCCTCATTTTCATGTCCATTTCAGTTTTTTCCCCCTGCAATTCAATCTGCTCCAGAAGTGAATCTGAAATGTTATTGGAAGGACAGATACTTTTCAGAAGACCAAATGGTTTTCCTGACAGCTGTTTTGCAAAGAAAAAGCTTTGCTATCTTTATAAAACAAAGTCAGTGCCAGGAAATAAACTACAGTCTTATTAAGTGTTCTTATTAAAGGGGTTTTAAGTAAGTTACTCATCTCCTCTGAGAAAAATAATCATGGAGATAAGATCCAGATCTTGATTTTTCCCAAACATTAGGGGTCTCCAGATAAAAGAGATAAATTTTGGCTTAACCTCCTCTTGAATAGACTGGTGCATTGGACAGCCCAGATACCCACACAGCTCCTGAAGGAATTAAGTCCTCGCAAATCCAGACCTTAAATTGTTTGCAGTATGGGTTTGTCTGAGTTTTAAAAAAGTATCTTTGCTGATCTGTCTGGTTTTCCAGGCTTTGTAAACTAACAGTGATTCTAAGCAGAGTCCTCCTTTCCTAATTACCTAGTATTTTCATTCTAACATCTTGCAAGCCACCTAACAGTATTATAATTTCCATAGGACAGCTACACAAGAACAAGGTCAAGGCCATGTGCATAAACTTTGAAGGCTTCAGGGAGGGTGGGGAGGAAGGGGAGAGAGAAGACCTAAAAATAGAAGACACCAGAGGGGCAAGAAAAGCTTCATCCTACACCTTTTCACAGTAAAGCTGGAACACTCTGCTGCACGACTCAGATGTATTTTCTAGAATGTAAACAAGCTGCAAATGACAAGTTGTAAATCGGAAACCAAAGGACAAGAGATGACCTTGGAACCGCTGTAGATGTTTCTCAAGGGGATCTCTGACTTCATGAAATAGGGCCTGTGGAATGACTTTTTATTTACACTCACTCCAATCCCCTACTAT